CTTATATAACTTTAAACAATAAAACAAGGTGGTCTTATATAGCATTATCCGGCATTCAATGAATCAAATCTTAATTTAAAAGCTTTGTTACAATATATAGCTAATTTTGTTAACACTGACTTCCTTTCTGAATTCAGTAATTCTAAAAAATTAAACATACTAGGGTTTCTTGTGAAATAGTTTGATATATACTGTTTCCTTAGAGAATCATACAAAGTGATATTCATCTTCGATGTCATTATTGTTGCAAAAAGTACATTTCCGGTCATTTCTATCAATATTATTGTGTCTACCTGTTTCTATTAATAAATTGTGAGATGATAATCTAAGTTTTGCTAATATATTTCTTAATTTCATAGTGTCAACAATATCCAGGTATTTGGACCTGCTAAAATCGGTTTTGATATGTTTATACAAATACAAAGAATAACAAATATGTACACTAGAATGCCAATTTGTGATATAAATATCTTTTAAACGACCATGTAGGACTGGTATTAATATATTTAGCTTAACTGATTCTGGATACATCCACACATCATTAAATCAAGCACTTTGGTTAAGACTTTAGACAACCAATTTACAGTATTAGACTTTGACTATATCTCCAATCTCTGACAATTAACAATTCAATTTTTTAATATACAATTGCTTGTTTTATTTTGATATATTTTTATAAAATATTTAACATTTCTTACATGACGTGAAATATATAATGGAAATCGACCTACTTCTGCAAACAGTGAAAGAGTATTTGTTGACATTTTCACGTTAAGCAACCATTTACAGAACTTCCTATGTACAATTTCCAAATTTTTCGATGGTAGGCTACCCCATACCTCACAACTATAATTTAGAATTGGTAGAACATATGCATCAAACAGGTTGAACATAATGTCAAAAGGGAACTATTTGCTTATCTCGTGTTACATTAAATAATGAGCTCATAGCCCGTAGTGCTTTGCCTTTTAGTGTGTTGGTAGCTGGTACGAACGAACTTCCGCTAGAAAAAACAATACCTAGGTAATTAAACGTTTTTTACAATTTCTATATTTAAACCCCCATATATCCACTTATAACTTTTATTTAAAACTCCACCCTTTCTAAAAACAACAATCTTAGTCTTATCTACGTTAACAGTAAGATGCCATTTGTTACAATATTTTTCTAAACTATTTAAGGAATTTTGTAAACCTTGAGCAGGTTCAGAACAGATAACGACGTCATCTGTAAATAATAGCAAATATATAGATATTTGATCTTATGTTATACCATCATCTAAATTTTCTTGTAATAAATTTTCTAAATCATTCAAAAAGAGACTGAACATTATTGGTGAAGTTATCTCACCTTGAAAGAGACCCATTTCACTACTGAAAAATTCAGACAACGTATTTACATGTTTTACACACAATTTAACATCTTCATACATTGAATATATTACAGAAAACAATTTGCCATCAATACCACATTTTATCAATTTATACCATAGGCAGTTCCTGTCAATTAGATCGTATGCTTTTTTAAAGTCAATAAAACAGCAAAATAGTTTCTTCTTATCATTTATAAATCTTTCAATCAAAGAATGTAATATGAAAATAGCATCTACAGTGCTATAATCTGCTTTAAACCCAAACTGGGCATCCGTAATTTTGTCATTTTCTACAGACCATTTCTTCAGCCTATTATTTTTAATCTCTGTGAAAAACTTACCAAACAACTTGTTATCGTAATTCCCCTATGATAACTTGGGTCTGTTGAATCACCCTTTTTATGTAAAGGAATAATAATACCGGATGACCAACATTTTGGGAAAGATCTACTATCAAGAATATAATTAAAAAGCAATTGTAAAGGATTCACAATATCATTTATACATGATGTAAAGTACTCGTATAAGATGTTATCTGCAGAACAAGCTTTATTACTACCTAAGCTTTTTGATGCTAGAACAATCTCTTCCACAGATATCGGTTTATCAAGTTCTCCAAATGTAGCATTGTTGCCTTCTGATTCTAAGAAAGTTTTTACAAAGTCATCGCAATCATTATTAGTTTTACGTTTATCATGATTTGTAGAAATATTTTTAAAATGTTCATAAAAAGAGTCAACTATTATTTCTTCACCCCGATTTCCTGGCGATTTCTGTTTAAAAGTCTTCCAGAACTCACGTGGTGATTTATGCTTTATTGTATTTAGAGATTGGGCAAATGTTTTATTATAATTATTTTTACATTTACGACAATAATATTTACAGTCCTTTTCATGATATAAACGTTCATTCTTTTCTCATCTTTTGGTTTGATATTATAATCATACATTGCCTTTTTAAACAATTCATGTTTTTCTTTACACACTTCGTTATACCACTTTTGCCTGTTTACGTCTGTACCAGTAAAATACACATTTTTACTTTTTGTGCATCGTTCAAATTAAAATGTAGAAAATTTGTGAATTTATTTACTAGTATATCGGGTACTTCTCCATTAGAAACATCATTTAACGAACTGATTTCTAAATCACTAATGCCGTGTCTAACGTCATTTACAAAAGCGTCTCTATATTTATTATTCCACTGGTAATACGTATGTTTTTTGGAAGATGTACTTGATAGCTCAGTATTTATACCGAATGAGAACGAGATTGGCGCATGATTTGAAAAGGTATTGAAATCTGTAACATTAAAACTCACTATGTCCTTAAAATTACCCTCTTCCGTCAATACATAGTCAACTAGACTTTCTCCGTTGTGTGTCATACACGTCCGTTTACCGATACCGTTATCGTGAAGTCTTCCGTTAACAATACGTATGTTGGTTGATTTACATTAATCAAGAAACAATTCTCCAAATCTATTCGCTGTTACGTCACACGTTGCGCGAGGGAGCGCCGAGTCAATACCAAATGTATCATCGTTTCCTATTATTCGATTGTTATCAATATAATTATGTTTTTTACCAACCCTAGAGTTAAGATCGCCGGAAACAAATACTTTTCCTAATGTGCTATATCTATTTATATCATTTTCAATTTTTCTGAAAATATCAACGTCATACGTATTGTGAATAGGAGAATTTTCTGGCGCTATATAGGTTACTGCAAGACATATGTCTTTTTCTATTTGAAAAAATGTTTTATCCAGTTTTAGCCAAATTAAGCAATCAATGTCTTTTTGAACAACTTAAACCCCCTTACGGCAATTATTCTTTATATAAACTATAAGACCCCCGCTAGATCTTCGTGCCCTCCTATGCTGAAAGTGTCTGTATGAATGGATCGGATTACTGTATCCGTTAAGGTCAATTTTCGACTTTTTGTTAGTCCAGGTTTCCGACAAGCATATAATATCAAAGCCTTTCAATACAGCTAAAAACTCGGACAAAGATCGTTTGCCCCGCTAAATCCTTCAACATTCCATGACACACAATTCAGAACACTCTCACGTGTAACCTATTTCGTACTGTTACCGTTGTATAATTTCTTATTGATGTACAGCTTGGCAACTTTCAAAAAATGCCTCATCACCGTTTTCCCGTACTTTTTTCATGATTGGGATTAACTGTTTTCTAGTCTCTATGATTTCACGGGGAAATTGTTCGCTGATCCCGAACGGTGTGCCGTTTAATTGATTTGATGATTTTCTGACCTTCTCCCTGTCTGGAAAATATGCAAATTTTGCAACTATTGGTCTTATTTTCTGGTGGCTATATTTTCCTATTCTATGAGCTCTATGAAGTTTAATATTAGATTTTGCATCATCTATTTTCAGTTTATCTTCTAGGAAGGATAATATCTTGTCCTCACAGTTTTCATCTTTCTCTTCACAAAGGTTATAGAATATCAAATTATCTCTCATACTTCTACATTTTAGGTCTATAATTTCAGCTTTCAAGTCATCTTCTGAACTTTTTTGTTCACTCTTTTTCATAGACTGTATCATTTTTTCGAGCTCATCCTGTCTTTTGTTTATACTGTCTAATAAACTGCTGTCAAAGGCTCGGCTATTTTCAATATCCTGGATTTTGGATTCTATCACATTAATCTGCTTGCTCATAGTGTCTGACTTTACCGTTAACGAGTTCACACTAGACTGAATGGTTTCTAAATGGCTGAGTTTCTTGTCCATCGAATCTAATCTTTGTAAAATAATTGACATCATATCACTTTGTGAATTCACGTTTCGAGGTGAAGTTTCTGGTGAGAATAATGGTGACGCTGAAATCATTGCCATATACTAGTATTGATTATTACAGCTTTGATATGGTAGTTGGGGGTGGTAAACTAACGTTATGACTTGCCTGGTATTGACTACCGGTCATATTTGGTGTACCCATTTGAATTCCTCCGCCATTTTGTACCATTGTGGTTGAACGTTTTGTCACAGATTGCACGTTACCCGGTGATTCTTTCGTCTTTTTACGTTTTCTGGGCATTTGAAACTTTGAATACAGTTACAATACTTCCATGTACACACTATTTTAGCAATAATCCGTCTGATTTAGAGATTTAATCCATTGTTTCTCAATTTTTACCAAGAGCTTTTCAAAATGTGCTACAATTTTTCACGCATGCGCATACGATATTAAATGGCTACTGTTAAATAAATTGATAAAGAAATAATTCAAAAGAATAGTTAATTTTATTCACATCTTTTGCATATCATTGTTTAAGACTTAAATGAAATAACAAATATTCAACTTTTATATTAATATATAATTGATATTTTTTATTGTTTTAACAATTATTTTTTAAAAAAAAATAATTGATATAAAGTTAATGACATTATTTCCATGTGACTTATTTTTTATGAAAGTAATAATGAAAATATTATTCTCAATGATGAGTATAGTATAGTTTATAATATAGTTTATATAAGTATGAATTCCTTTTTATCAATTGTGTGTTTTATTTTGAATAACCAATCATATCTTTTTATTATCACCGCACAAAAATAAAAAAGTATATTACAGAACTTTAATTGCTTATCTACAACAGAAAAACATACCTCAATACAAAAATATCAATCCTGATATGGCTTTTAAAATGGAAATAAATTTGTTAACTTTCCTAAAAAAAATATTTTAAAAAAATGCGAGTGAAACGTCCATACATTTGACAAATTGGGAGTGAAACGTCTAGGTTTGAACCGTCTTGGGAGTGAAACGTCTCAATAGTGAAATGTCTTGGGAGTGAAACGTCTGAGATTCCTATATTCATGCACGTTCTCTTGTGTGATACTCATCGGGAACCAGTCGGTTGAAAACAAATTGGTTCCCTTTTAAAAATTCATCTACTGCTGGCGTAGTAACATTAAAACTGTGTTTAGCAAGAATATAATTATGTAATTTTGTAAAAGAAGGATTGGAATTCTAGTAGTTAATTGGTCAGTAAGTTTTAAAGTAGAAAGGGTAATTATGATTCCCTGAATATCATGACAAAGTATTGGACCTATTTTGTCCAGCGTAGTCGAGATGTGCTCAAATCATAGTTAGCGATTTATATCATAATTCCATTGGGGCACTCGCTGGCGCTTGCTCCTCTAAAACGGATAACAATGCAAAAATCGAGTGTCTATGTTGCATTGCTCAGTGTTTCTATTTTGCTAATTGGAAGCGGAATTTCAGTGTATCTACTGTCAAATAAGAATAACACATGCCGATGTATTATTCCAGACAGGTGTTTTATTAATGCGACAACAAATTCTCAGAATCTCACGTTAACTACTTTCACGACGAATTTTCAAAAAAACACTTCTGCTGTAACTAAGCCGAAGGAATCAGTGCATGTTGAAACAAGTTTGGCGACAACTTCGTCTTCACTAAACACAACAACAGAAACACTAGGTTTGAAGTTTCTGCATTTAGTATTGTATTATTTATTTATTATTTATTATTTATAGATTAATTTAAAAAGTTAGCACGGCTATAGATCTGCTTCATAAAGTATTATAATTCATCGCATCCCAACTCCAAACAGTGGTTTTATTTAGCGATAAAATCACTGTTTTGGATGTATAATTTCATTAACACTAGAACTGTACATATATAGTTTAATATAATCGAAAACCTTGCACTGGTAATGGTATCTCGCAGATTTAAACCTAGCCGGATTTTTCTATTTCATGTCTACATTATTTTAATTCAACCAGATGTTTTTGGTTATTTTGAGTCTATCAATATGGCTCAGTAACTTACAATAATAATCTAATTTGTAGTAGGGGCCTTTGTTAATAAATATAGTAAATATTATTGAAGTACGTATTTTACAAGCTGAAACATGACGTAAGTTTAATGTTAAACATCATTATATACTTTTCATGCAAATAAAGGTACTAATACTTATTTTAACATCTATAAAAGTGTCGTCTGCATACATTTTATTTTTATTATAGATTGTCCTGATAACTGGATTTCATATGAACAGTCATGTTATTTCATCAGTCACCAATCGGCGAGCTGGAAAGATGCTATGGTAAGTGAAACAATGTGATCATTTTCAAATTAAAGCAGCATGCCTCCAGATTCATGCTAATTTTCATAAAAATTGTGAGAAAGTATTTCGTACAAATATTGCAATCGGCACTTATAATTCAAGCAAATTACCAGAAAGGTCAAAATATGCAAAAATAGCCCTTACTGCGTTAAAAGCAGTAGAAATATAGTAATAAATACTGCAAACTTTGTCTTTAAACGGACGTAACATTTAAACTGTAACACAAATCTTGACTCTTTTTACCTTTCTTAAAATCTTAGTACATTTTTATCATGTTTGCATTTTTTGATATATTTTGGCTCTTCTCAAGACATGCAGCTTTAATATAATATAGTCATTATAATAATAGATCAGTGGGTCATTAAAGGTTGAAGAGCATGCCTGAAGGAATGCCTGTCTTTTGTGAGCTATAAAAAAGGGTAAATATCTCCCTCCCTCCTATGGTATTTATGTCTTCTCTGTGATAGGAGTTATAAGCAGTTACAAGAAAATCATTAATACAAAGCATCAAAGGCGACGCCAAAAAATATTTGATCAAGACTTGCACCTAAATACTTAACAGAGGAGGTGTACTTTATATCAGTACCCTTACACGTGACCTGGAGGCTAGGACCCTGTTTAAGTTGAAACTTGAACCCAAAAGCATATACTCTGTCTTGTTAAGATGCAAAAACAGTTTAAAGTCAAATATAACCAATCACTAAAATGCTCATGCCAAAAGAGAGAATTTCTTCAGGTTTATTTTACCAGATACAAGGATACCTGAGTCATCATCATATAATAAAAGCTTATTGCTTAGGGTTACAGACATATCATTGACAAATATTAGACATAGAAGAGGAACTAAAATGAGCCCCCTTGGAGACACCATAGGTACTCGGAGATTTAAGTTCCTTTATCCTGCTGTGAAAGGGACCCAAAGGTAAATAACCATTCGCAAATTAAAGTATACATGGTTGGTCATTATAATGAAGGGAAATGATACTTCTATTTTGTACAAGAAGGAAACAGTTTTATTAAAATGATAAAAAATGTTATTTTCAACACATTAAATAATTTTTGAAATTTATTTCAAACAAGTTTTATCGTTTGTTAAATGCTAGTACGAAGGAGATAATCTATTTCAGACTTCTCTTGCAGAGCTGTATAACCGTGGAATTAATTACTACGCGATGTTTCATGTTTTCTTTTTAAAAACAGGTTTTAAATATTTGAATATTTCAATCCACTTATACCCAACTTATCTGCATTTCTTCTACAACAGTACATACATGTACTGCATGGAATATCTTCTAAAACTTCCACAGATAAATACTTATAACTTGTGAAAATACGCAGACATATCTCTTAATCTATTACTATCATGGTCCAAAGTTTAAACTTCACTTTGAACAAGCCTTCTTTTAAGATACATGTTAGTATGTTTTTGAAGTGTTTTATTTTTCTTTTTTCCTTTTCTTTTCTTTTTCTTCTTTTTTGTTTATTTTTTTTAATAATTTACGAACGGCAAACCACTTTAAAATATTCATTATTCACAAGAAAAGGTATTTTACTTTCCTTGCTATTTAGGAGTACTTTGAAAGGCGGAAGTCTTTGAAGTCTAAAGTATTCCTTTGACACTTAAATATTGATTCTTATGTTTTAGTATTATGTGACAATGCCTGGGTAAAATCTAATCTTATCATGCTGTTTTTTGGAAGGACTGAGGATGTGCTTGTATATCACCCTATGGCAAATTACACCATAAACATTTGGGAAAGTCATAAATTACATAAACTACTAGCAAAACTGTTTAAGATACACACGGCTCATCAAATTATTTTATGATTTCTAGAAGAAAGAAACAAAATCTTTTTTATCCTACCATTAACATATAGCTTATATGTCCTAGTCAGTCTCAGTTTGAGAATTAAGGATTATTAAATATTGTAATTTAAAAAAATAAAGAAACAACTATTAATTATTAGAAAAGAACAGATCATCCTTTTATTTGTAAATAGTACATCATTATATTCCATAGACCATACAATTTCCAAGCAAATAATGATCATACTATTTGTCTCTAAAACTATCGTAAACTTTTTGTACTTTATTCATAAAAAGAGTAGATCAACAAATTCGTAAAATCAGTTAAAATATTAACTACTGTCCATTTAGTATTTCAAATTATTTACCTTGTTATTATAATAACACCAAATAAAATATTTCTATTTCTATCATTTTCAACATAAATCTTATAATGAGGTTAAATTGATAGAAATTATTAATTTTACAAAGTACAAAAAATTAAGATAATAAATTAATAATTTAATTTATAAAATGCTATTTAAAACATTCCATAAATTAAAGGCAATGCTATACAAACTGAAACATTGTCCAGTACATAAATTGTCTACTGCACTAGAAGTGAACTTCAAAGTGCACTTAATGTACTCATTGAAGTGCACATGTAGTGCACAGCAAGTGCACTTGGTGTAACCTTTAGTGTGAACTCAACTGACTTTAGATTGACAGAAAAGAACTAAAAATTTAGTAAACATGAGTTACTTCCCCTTAAAATAGAAAAAACCTGAGACCCTAAATAACACCCTAAACAGCAAAATAATAAAATGTTGCAGGCTCAGTTTTATTAAAAGTAATGGTAAAAAGTATAATTCATAAAAAGTTAGAATGTCATGTGACAACAGTAGAATTACTTTGCAGAAAACCGGATAGCCTTCATCATCCGGATACTGGTACACTTTGTAAAAACAATCATAATGTGCAATAGATAAACGTGATATGGATTAAAATCAATAGAATTATCGTTTTCAACGGTTACATTACGAATCCTTATACTCATTTGAATTTGAACGTTCTTCTTGCAGAAAAAAATTCTAACCGTATATAGAACGAAACAATAAATAATGCATAATTAACAAAAATGATTAAACAGTGTAATCTATAAAATAAAATAAAATGAGTTAAATAACAAAAATGAAAACATCAATACAGACAACAACGATATTCGGAATCCGGCTTTAACGATTCGCGACAAGCTGTTAAACTGAGTCTGCAATTTTATGAAAAAAAAATATCCAAATGCACATGCTTTTTACATAAAGTTATTAAATACAAATATAACACCATATTTGTTTAATTGATTTTTCAAAATCAAAATAAAACTAATTAAGACAACATGACATTAACGGCTAATAATAACAGCTCGGGCCATGTGCAAAAAACCCCAAAGCATTCCATAAGAGACGACGACGCTCACCGGCGTCGCCAATAAGCAGTAACTTCCAGTTCCGGTCGTTCACGTTTCACGGTAATTATCATTTTTCCCGAAATGGAAATCTTATTGATTCCAATCTATTTCCCTGCTATTAGATTCTTTGCGAGGTCATGATTTAGGAGGGTTTATTAGACTTGATTTAAAAATAAATGTTTTCGTAAATTTTGTATTAGAGCTGGCTTTGCAAAATTCATATTAACTAGCTAGAAGAGCAGGTTTGAAGTGTCTGCTCGTATAGCGAGCATAGCGGTAACGAAAGTAGCGTCCAAACTATGTTGGTTTTGAAAAAATTGCCGGAAGTTCATTTCATTTGGGATAGAAGCTCTTATATCTGGAGATCCATTTTTACGACTCTTAAGGAAATAAAAAAATCTTTTTTTCCGAACTGGAATTCTTATTAACCTTTCACATTTTGATTCTGAGCGAGTGGAGGTCTTTGTAAAAAAATAAACGTACTTATAGTGTATTGTTCTCCGAGAGCTCGGTTTGATGCTTTACCCTATTCGAATGAATTAAAACATGTTTGTTCCAGATCCGATGTAAAAAACTGAACGGTCATCTTGCCGAGATTACATCTGCTGACGAGGATCAGTTCCTGAGACACCATATTGAAACACTTGACAGACAAAATAGTAGAGGTAATAATTATTTATATGCCACATTGGTTTTAGTAAATTGTAATATGACCAAGAGCGGCTGCAATATATACATTGCGAAGCCACTGAATATTTTCTCACTTTGAAATGAGATTTAAGGATTTTCTCGAAAAAGAAAACATGCTTTATTTAAACTTTCGGCACTTTCTATGGAAGCACCGGAAGGGACGCGCGTAAAGAAAGTGACGTCATACGCTTAAATCTACGCGAACGCTGTGCAAACAGAGTAATTCAAGTTTATATTGTTTATTGCCGTGTTAGACATAAATATTGGTTGCATATGTTGTAATCGCTCATATTATGAGTAATATACATGTACTCGAAATTGTTCGTTTTTTTTAATTCAATCGATAAAATCCAGTATTTTACATTGTAACTCGAAAACGAATAAATTATTATAATTGAGCATTATAAATGATCAAAAAGGCGTAAATGATATGCTTTTACAGAGAGATCTGTAAAGCCAAAATAAATAAAGAATAATATAAAAGTGTACAATGCATGTGTTTGTTACGTCAATATCGAGTTCATTGTTTTCATATATGTACTCGTCTCTAAAAGGCGTTTTAATGGGTTTATTTACAGCACATAACCGCTTACGATGGGAAAAATATGTGGTAGGGGGGCGTTAAGGGAAAAAACACATATACGGACCAGCAAAAATAGACTTACTCCGAAATAAAGAACATTTTGGTGTTTTCTCAGCTAATCCGTAGTAACAGCCTCAAAAATAAGTTAATCTATTGTGAAAGGTAGTTCACCACGGGGGAGGAGCTTGTAAACGTTGGAGTTCTTATGATAACTTGTCAGGGGCTCTTGTGATAACTGTCACGGGGTTCGTCGAAAATCTTGTGTAAATACTACAATACACACGTCAAAATTCTTAATTTCATCTTTAATATGCGAGTGCTAAATTAAACTTTAATGATTAAGCTTGCCTTACATCTTGTATGTGTCAAAAACTAATTCATAGTCCATTTTTCATCTCCTCTTGTTTACAATCTGGTAGTTTTTAGTAAAATTTCCAAATTATTTGCCAATTTGAATGTATTGAGTATATTTCCCTGCTATACAAAGTTATCTAATTATAATGCAAATGCAAACATAAAGCCCCGATTAACACATTTATGCCCGATTTTTCAAATGTTCTGGAGTTCTTGTGATATCTCTGAAGCTGTCCTAGAGTTCTTATGATAACTTTTGTTACTATCAGTGTGTTTCTTGCGCTAAATCAGGGCACGTTTTAGCGTTTGTTATAAATATGTTGAATATATTAAATTACAAAAGTTACCAAATTTAAAAAGTAGCCCAATTTCAATAGTAACCAAATTTCAACAGTAACCAGATCTGAATAGTTACCAAATTTAAATAGTTCATTTCAACAATTACAAAACTCAAAGAGATACCAACTCCTGGTAATATTTCAGAATGCCTCAATGCCTCTTCAAATCAATATAGTGGCACCACAACTACGACGTACGACGGACACACGTGCCAGCGATGGGATTCACAAACTCCCCACGCACATACTCAATTCAACACGTTTCCAGAGGGATCTGTGACAGATGCTGCCAACTATTGCCGAGATCCCGACGGCTTAGGGTTACCATGGTGTTACACAACAGACCCCAAAATTAGGTGGCAGTATTGTGGCATTTACGAGTGTCCGGGTGGTAAGTGGCTGTTTGATAATATTCTCTAACAAATGAAACGGAGACAGTGAAACTTGGAAGAAAAACCCAAGAGAAAAATATGTTACATGAACTCGAACTTGACGTCATTCTAATATAGTTTATACGCTATAATCATTTTAACTTCTCATTCCGCAGAATAATGCGGGGCAATTATATCGCGATAAGTTAAAAAGTTTCAATTGAAAAAAAAATTAAAAAATATGTACCATCGAAATCGTCAAACATTTATTTCTCATTCTTGTGTCCAAAAGATCTTTATCAAATGCATATCGTACCCTATCTAGCTTCGTTTTCAATTTCAGGATTTAAAAAAGGTCATATAAATTCCTTTTTGTATTTAATGTAAAAAAATTCTGTCAAAATGTCCGAAAAAGGTGGGTGTGAAGTAAGGAAAAATATATACTCAGTTGCAAAACCTATATCAGACTCGAGTTGCGTCTCGTCCAATGTAGGTTTAACAGCTGTGTACTCATCCAATAGAATTCAGTATTGTACTTAACACTAAAAAATTACGTCATGATATTGACACATTGATACATATCGTACAAGAACGCATCATACTTGAAGGCATGATACTTTTTTATCTACCTTTAAAAAACGGTTGTTTCCTTCCAGGGAACTACTGGGCCGGAATGGTCATGCTGGAAGATGTCTGGAAATGGATCCACACGGAGACTGAACTTGATCAAGGTTACACTAACTGGTATCATAACCAAAAACGGGAATATTGCGGGGCATTAATTTCGGAGTTAAACTATCAATGGAAGAGAAGCAATTGTTTTTATACGGCAATGTACATTTGCGAACAGACGAAATATAGATAAGAGAGTTGTCGTCATGATGAACTCTTCGTGAAATCAGACATTGAATGAACGCAGGACAATTCAATTCTTCTCTTGATTCATTGAAACAACATTACAGCTAACTGCTGTTCGACCGTTCTTTGCCGTAAAATGGAACTATTTTACAACACAATAATTCATGATCATTTGATATATTTTGTACAAACATGAGTATAATATTTGCTGTATTTTTATATGCATGAAGTTAAAAACAGCATGAAATCTCCAGTTCAAATAGGGATAATAGTTAGATTTAATTTATGTCTTGATAATAATTAAAGATACTTCGGGTATTTAAAAAAATCTTCGTGATTTTATTTTGCAAAACTAGAAATCTCTAGAAACTCTTCAGAAAATGTGTGATGACATATTCTGTTCAAAATTCAAAAGTAGTGTTACTGTAAATGTTGATTTATCTAGCGTCATCATATTTTACTTTTGGGCATACATGGCCTGATGTTGACCTACATTAATGTAAATAGCAAAACTGTATTTTTGATAAGTTTATTTATCTTTTAAACTTGATGGAGTAAGACTCACTCCTCTTCTAAATTTAGTTGAGTTTTTTGCTTATGATTTTCATGTTGGAGGGCTGAAAAAGAGAATCTCAACTTAGCATAGGAAAACTTTTCTACATGTACTCTATCAAGAATGTGGAGAATCATAACTTTGTCAAAGCTCAGAAATTTATACTATTTAAGGGAAAAGATGTTTAAGCTCAGTCGGTAAAGCCTCGGAACGGCTTTCCGAGGGCCCCGGGTTTGAGTCTCGGTCAGGCTGTACATTGAAAAACAGTATTAATAACATGTCTGTTCCAATGTCGTAATAAACTTATATCATATAGATTTTTTAACAAGGTTATGAAACAGAAATGTATGTCTCTACAAGTAATAATCCTGCTAAACACAGATCCGCTCTGGCTAAATTCAGATGTGGTGTTGTAAAAATTCAGTTGAAACGGAAAACCATGTCTTATTAGAATGATCTACATATGAAACAATAAGAAGGAGTTTATATGAAGAAGCTGTTAAAATAAATCATAACTTTCACGGATGGAATGATGATTACAAATTTGAATTTGTTCTATCTTATAAGAGAAAGTGTCAAAGCCTGTTTCTCAATATTAAATATGAGATCGAACCTTCTGTGCCGTTAGTTTTTATAATAGACAGTTACTTTTAATTGTACAGGTATATTTGCTTGGGTTTTTAACATGTTATTTTTTTGTATTTTATATTTTTTGCTCTTTTTAAGCCAATGGCCAAGTAATATCTGATGATACCCATGTATCCTGAAACATTGATTTCGTGTTCTTCAGTAATCATATCCTATACATTCATTTTCTTACTTAGTCACGCCCCTTACATTTATTTCCATGGTCATGCCATGTAGATCTTTTTTTCTTACTTTTCATAGACTGTACATCCATATTCTTACACGGTACACGCTCTATGTTCTTACTTGTAATATCCTAAACATTTATGTTCTTACATTGTCATGTCCCTAACAAACATGCGCTTGGTCACGTCCTGTACATTTATATTCTTACCTGTAATATCCAATACATTTATGTTCTTACATGGTCACGTCTCTTACAAGCATGTACTTGGTCACGTCCTGCACATATATATTCTAACCTGTAATGTCCTATACATTTATGTTTTTACATGGCCAGGTCCCTTACAAACATGTACTTGGCCACGTCCTGTACATCTTTGTTCTTTCTTGTTTTACCCTATATATACGCGTTCTTATATGTCACGTCTCATTCAAAGATGTACATGGTCACGTCCTGTACATTTATGTTCTACTTATAATATCCTATTCAATCAAATTCTTACATGATCATGTCCCTTACAAACATGTACTTGATCATATCATAAACATTTATGTTCCTACTTGAAATATCCTGTACTTTCATGTTCTTATTTCGTCACCTTCGTTATAAACATGTACATGTATTTAATCATGCTCTGTATATGAATATCCTCATTTATCACATACTGTGTAATTATATCTTATAATAAAAAAGTTCTCTGAAAGTGATTTTTTTATATATCCTTTAAATAACAAGAATTGTCTTTAGAACCTCTTTAAATGCCGTTTTATTTTCTATATAACATTTCTACATTTTGCTTGAAGTAAATTTGTAATTTATTTGGCATGAACGGTACATAACTCACGTGACGCATTATCAACCGGAATTTTCAATATTTTGAAATATGTTGTCATTTAACTGAACTTTATGATGAAGAAAATGAACATTATGTCAAATAAAAAATTCTATACAACAAGCATGCCAAGAAATGTAATTTTGTTTAGACGATACATGTATTTTAAACTCGAAGAGCAGCGTATAGTGGCATCTTTTAGAAAAGTATTCAAATAGACAACCGCTCCATCCAACAGTTTGAAGGATGGCTTTGAATGGAGGAGTGAAGCCGGATTCAAAAGGCACATAAAAAAGAATATGTAAAGAAGGCTGTTCGATGAGCTCAGTACGTACGATCTGCGTTCGATTCCCGGGCGGCGAATGTCACTTTCTTTGATATTGCTCATGAAATTCATTCTACGGTCATTCACACTGTATCTACAGAAGGCAACCAGCATGAGTGAATTGCTTGAAAGCCTATCTAGAAACGATACGGTGGCTGAACTGTGCTCTGGGGAATTCAAACTGGCTTACTGACATGATCTGTGGGGTAAACCACAAACACCACCACCAGCTATGTAAAGATTGTTATCTTTCATTTTACCAGTAAATACCAGTAAATGCATATGGAAATAAATGAAACTACAGCCAGGTTCAAGACTTCAAATTTCTTTAAATTATATTCAAAATGAAATCTTTTTTTTTTCTTTTTCATAAATTAAATCACCCTAGGCTTAAAGAGCCTGTATGTTGTTATTGAGGTTGTTACCAGTGGTAACGGTGTTGGTAGTTTTCACTCCGGATCACGACAGTAAGCCACATTGTTTTCACCAGAGCACAGTTCAACCACCGTATCGTTACTGGCAAGGCTGTCAAGCAGTTTACCATTATTAGTTTACCATTATAAGGGCTTTGAAGAGTTGCCTTCAATTTCGCAGGAACTTAAACTTCTGTACACGCCAGAGAAGAGGTACAGTGCGAATGACCGTAGAAAGGATTTCATAATCAATCTCAACGAAAGTGACCTGCGCCGTCCGGGAATCGAACACGGGTCGCCCGATTCACAGTCCAACGCTCTACCTATTGAGCTAACCGGACCGCTAGGTTGTTACCACACTTAAATGAAATTATATTTATATACATATATAAAATTCATTTAAGTGAGGTTGTTTCTACACTTAAATGAAATTTTTATATATGTATATAATTATGCTTATAAAACAATTTTCAAACATCAAAGAAAATGTGAAATATTAAATGCAAATATTTATGCACATTATATGTAATCATTAAAATATATTCATTCATTTCGTACTGAAAAAATTTGACTTAAACTTTGTTTAATTAAACTCCCTTTTTTACATGAAATATTAAATTCGGTAAAATCTTTACAAATAATGATTTTGAGAACTTACAATATTGATAAATCTTAATTTGAGCATCATACTTATGATAAAAAAAAAACAACATAAAAATATTGTGTAACAAGAAGGATCTTTAACAAAATCATTGCAAAAAGTCTTTTAAAATTATATTATTCTAAGCATGTCACTGTCGAGGTATCTTGTCTTCCCATCATTCGGGCTCCTTAATATTTTAAGGTCTTTAGATCTTTCTTTTTTTTCTTGGCTAATCAGAGAGCATATTAGTTTTACTAATTTTCTGCAGAACATCATGTGTGGATCTGAATTATTTTACTGTCTTTGAAGTGCAACTTTAAAATACAACAAATTATGTCTTTAAATTCCTATGCACCACTTTCTATTTCGTTCGCCATTTAGTGCAATGGGTGTTCATTGCACTATTTGATACAATATTTAACATACCTCATTATTTTCTCATTTTATTATTAACATAAACAATCAACACCGTGTAATAAAGCACATATATTAACAATTATTACATATAATTGTATATACAGGCATGTTTAGAAATTATAGGTCCTCCCAGGTTGTTCAATCCCCTGGGGGTAAGAAAACTCCAGATGACAAGGTTGAACCTGCTTCCCTTTTAATGTCATCTGTTGAGAATAAGATTTTTCAACAGTTACAGGATTTAACCAACCAGATGAAGCAGCTGAATTCCAGGTTTGGCACTGTTGAGAAGGAACTTGAGAAGAAGTCCAGAAACTACCAGGATGGATACCAAGATAGGAGAAGATGAAGTGATAAGAGTAAGGAGCGGGGTCAAGCCAAAGAAACACATAGGCTACCGACAAGTCTGTTACAGATAAGGTTCCAGAGAATCCTTTAAACCGGAATTGACCTACTCAACAGGGCCAACAGGAGGTCAGCGATTTTTAAAGGCCCATATATTGCACCTTTGATAGGTCATGCCAATGTGGTTGAAGTTCTCATTTGTGACACTACATGTTAAGGTTTTCTTGATTCCGGAAGCATGGTTTCTTCTATTAGTGAATCTTTTTATTCATCTTTAGTTCCTTGACCAGAACTTCACAGCCATCCAGATCTTAGTTTGGATATTTCCAGTGCTAATGGTTCTTCTGTTCCTTACATTGGTTATATCATTGTTGATATTGGTATTCCAAAGGTTGATTTTAACCCTGTTTCTGCGCCATTGTTAGTGGTTCAGGATACCAAGTATTCTTTTTCAGTTCCCTAATTGTAGGTACCAATGTTTCAAATTTTTTTAAAACTTTGGCACCTACCTGTCAGGTACCAGCTTAGTTTAGTGATGTTTTTCTGTTTTATCTTCTGTAAATTGCCTTCCTGTCAGAAGTCTTAGTGATGTCAGTGTTCAGATCCCACCTTTTGAGACCAGAACTTTTATTGGCAAGGACCGCAATGTTTGTAATAAGTCTGAAGCTGTTACTGAGAATATTGACAATAATGTATCTGTAACTGTTTGTCCAAACCTTGTTCATGTGAAACCTACAATTTCGTTTTGTAGGATACCTGTGAAAATGTGTAATATGTCTGCCCATCCTGTGTTCATTAAACCCAATTCTTTTCTTTGTCGTCTTCAAGATGTAGAAGTGTTAGAAGAATAGACCCTTTTGAAGGTTCTACTGCCAATATGAACAATGCAAAGAAGTGACTTGAGGATTTGGGTATTTCTGTTCCTACTGATATTCTTACAGTAGATGAACATGTTAAGGCCAATGAATTTTTCTCTAGTTGGAAACATATCTTTTCATCTGGCCCAACAGATCTTGGATGTACCAATATTGAAGAATATGGTACTTATCTTTCAGATCCTACCCCTTTCAAGGACCATTATCTGCGTATTCCAACGGGTATTTATGTTGAAGTCAGGGAACATCTGAAAGATATGTTAGCTGCTGGTGCCATTAGAGAATCTAATAGTCCCTTTTCTTCGAATGTAGTCCTTGTACGTAAGAATGATGGGTCTTTAAGATTCTGCATTGACTACCGTCGGCTCATCAGTGGAACCATCAAGGATGCATATGCCTTGCCCAGGATAGACGGGACCATAGATAGCTTAGTTGGTGCAAAATTCTTTTCTAAGCTTGACCTTCGATCAGGTTACTGGCAAGTTGCCATGAAGGAGGCCGACAAGTATAAGACAGCCTTTTCGGTTGGTCAACTCTGTTTTTACGAGTGTAACCGTATGGGTTTTGGGTTTACCAATGCCCCTGCTATTTTCCAACGTCTGATGGAGCGTGCTATGGGTGATCTTAACCTTACTGAATGTCTCATCAATTTAGATGACATTGTCACCTTTTCTTAATCAAAAGAAGAGCATTTTCAGTGACTTATTTCTGTTTTTCAGCGTTTGTAAAAAGCTGGTCTCAAGCTAAAAGGTTCTGAATGTGATTCCTTTCGAACCAGTGTGAAGTATTTAGGCCATATTGTCAGTGAACATGGTGTCGAAACCGACCCCGACAAAAAGAATTGGTCAGTTCCAAAAATTATCAAGGGGTAAAGGAGCTTTATTGGTTTTGCTGATTAATCAAAGGGTTTTCCCAGATAACCAAACCACTGAACGATTTACTGATTGGTCATCCTACCTACAAAGCCAGCAATTTCAAGAATAAAGCTACACCTTGGAAATGTGGTCCTGATCAACAATCTACCTTTGACTTACTACTTAAGTGTCTTAGTACCCCACCCATCTTGGCATATGCTGATTTCAGCAAACCATCTCTTTTGAATATCGATGCCAATGGAGTTGGTCTTGGTGCCGTTTTATACCAGGTGCATGATGGCAAAGAGAGAGCGTGGTTTGAAACCGAATGAACGGAATTATCCCGCTCATAAATGAGAGTTTCTTGGTAGGCTGTGAGTGATAAGTTCAAAGATTATTTGTATGGTAAAGTGCGTTTGACCCCAAAATGCGGTGTTACACAGCCAGAACTAGACGCATGGAAATAGCTGTTCGCTCCTAACGGGCTTTGAATTAATGTAGCTTACAATACTTAGAAAACTAGTTCGGCGCATTATGCACTCAGTCATATTCATCAATTATATGGATATAAAGATGAAAAGGTGTAATTACTATATAGCCCAACCTGGTCAGGCAAGCTGGTGGAAAAGTTTATTCTATTTCGTTTCCTACGTACTTTTGTTTGCTAATTGACAGAAAATGTCTTTGTTCGTCCTGACCAAGGCTATGTATAATATTATGCTTTAGTTTAAATATCAAAATAAATCCTTACTTTTCAATTGTTTACACAATCGTATTTGTAAGTATTCGTTTAGAAATTAGGTCGAGTTAAACAATAAATTGAATTATAACGGATTAAAATTGAAGTAGACCTATTTTACAGGTTGATTGTGATAAAAGAATACGTAAAGAACGTCATTTTGAAAAAAAAGAACCCGTATCTCATTGTTATTTAAAAATATATCCTCATAGTAAATTCTTCACGTTACCTTTGTCAATAGAAGATCTTATACCACCCGCATTCCAAACGGCTATTGCTGCTGGGGCCCACCTTGACTCAGGATGGGAGAAGTTGGCATGGTAATCAACTATTGCGTCTGTTACTAGGTTACCTACAAGAAAAAAGTATGATGATTATGTCTAAATTTTCATACAATTTCATGATTTATCTCTAGACACATTGATACTGATATGTTATATGATGTCTTTCCATCTTGAATTAAGTATAATCATCGATCATATAAACTAGCTGATTTTGTTTTATCCCCTGCAGGACTTCCATGTCTGATAGCGGTAAAGCACAATATATTAGGGGCATGTTAACCGAAAAAGAATTCTATAGTTGGAAACTTTGACTTATAGAAAGCATTTTAACCATGTCAGGTAATTTATTTTTTTGAACCTTGCAAAATAAATAAGAAAAAACAAACAAATCTGATATCGCAGTTACCTAGGTTGCAGTCTTTTCTATTACAACTTTGTGAGTCTAAAAGTACATTTGAGAAGCCAATTATTTCATTAGCTAAATCATTCACCGGGATTCTCCAATCTTGAATGTAAGACAGTAATCCAGAATCTGAAAACGATTAAGAAAAGACAATGATATGTTTCCTAAGAATATTCTTTGAAAATGAACGGATGGATGGAGGGACGGACGGACGGACGTAAGTAAATATAAAATAAGATGAATAGGGTAAATAAAAATAACTATCACTTCTAAACTTTTCCGTAACATTTCACAGTTTTCTCTGTCTTCATTTGAATTAATTAATAGATCACAATAAATATTCTTAAAAAACGAACATGAATTTTATATTTTATAAATATACATGTAAGTTATAAACATATATGTACTTTACATTTAAAGTGGCTAAAAGGAAAACATGGCAAAATATACATTCTGTATGATTTCTTGAAAACACCACAATAATCAACTTATATTTTAAGGACATATTAATACACTATCTTTAAATAAAATATATGAATATGACATGGTTTGAAGCTAGATATGTTTTTTATTTGCAATTATAACTGACCTTCAGGAACATTTGAATCCAGTAAAATAGGATTTCCTGAATATTTTGTCACCACTCCATTTTGATCAAAAGTCAGATTAAGATATCCAAGATATTTTCCCATGGTGTAAGCTTGAACCACCAGACCTTTACCACCCCCTGGCTGGTCAGCAACAACCGGATATGGTCCTTTTATCTCTTCTCTGTCCGGTTGATTTCCTTCAAAAATTATGAAAAATACGGCTGTGGCATTTATTTTTTCAGTGTTGCGCATGCGTAGACATACTCGTGTTACCGTCAAGGCGATTAAAATGTTAGGCACTTAAAATTAACAAAGTTACAAGGCGTGCAAAGAAGTTCTTAACCCATACACTTTTATCTACAAATCACCTCTATATTGTTTTCAATATAACATAATTATTATCAAATTATTATTAGACTTTAAAAAATAAAGAGAATAATTCAAAATATATATTATTATATAAATTAATGAAGAAAAAAGGAGAAAGATAAATAGAAAAGAGATAAGAAATAAAAATGTTGCTCTTTTTTCAAAACATTTTCTCAAGAGTCAGGTAAATCTTAATTATAATTTATACAAAATTAATACATATTTCAAAGTATTGCCTATTTAAATAGCAACTGATGTTTTTTTTGTGTTTTACGGTGGTGTTTCACCATGCACGTGTAACCTTGTTTAAATAAAGATATTACATGTTTTATTCTCATTATTATTATCATCATCATCATCATTATTATTATTATTATTTATTATTATTATCATTATCATTTTTATTATATTATTATTATTATTATTATTATTATTATTATTATTATTATTATTATTATTATTATAAATGAATGATAGCAAACAATGTTGAAATACAAAGACTGTCTAAAATATTAAAGACTGTATCACTCGAACGTAACCAAGAAATGTAGAATTATACATTTTGCATGAGTGTCGAGAGGAAAATTATGTGAATTGGATGCAATTTTGGCAAAATGTACAGGTATTTGGATTTTTACCTATACACTCATCTTCATGCTTAGATGGGCATAAAGATATTTTTATAGATTGTAGTAGGTGGCGTGTATAGCCAGTTTTAATTCATCAGCTGGTAATTTATAGTTGTTTTTGTTTATCTACAAAATCTTCTAATTATCGAATGTTATACATTTTTTCATAGTTTGATAAATTTTACACCACTCCCGTTCCAGCCAACATGTCTGCATTGTTATTTTTATTTTGTTATTCTTCTTACGCTTCAGCTTGCTTTTAATTTCATAATTTTGAATATAATTTGTTTTTCTTGGTGTGTTTTGAATTTATTTTGGCTTGAATTTGACGCTTGATCTTACATGTTGCCAGTTTGATTTATTTATTGAACGGCGGTTTGTTGTGTATTATGTAATAGAAAGAGCATCGAATCACGAGGCTATCTGATTTGTACCAGTGGGACATAGCCCTCCTCCTCATCCCCCTCTCCCTCCCGAGTATAAATCAGATTTGCCGAGTGTTTTGGTGATCTTTCTCTTTTGTATCATAGGCAAAAATAAAAATATGTTCCCTATTGTCACAATATGAAACCCCATAAAAAGTAACGAATGAACGAGCATCTGAATATGATATTTCTGTGGCTATCTCTTTCTCGGCCGATACGATAAGTAAAGCCCAGAAAAAATGAACTTACCAATAGGTATGCTCTAAAGTGTGTGTAACTACATTGTAATACCCGTACTTTAGTTCACGCATTGTGCATTTGTATGTATACGAATAAAATTTTGACACATTTTCAACGAAAGGAGGTTGATGTCTATCTCAGTATTAATTACTTGATTCATTAACTACTGAAATCTTGTTATTCTAGAAATCTTCCTATGCGTGTCTATATTTGAAATAAATGAGCCGTGTCACGACAAAACCAACATAATGGGTTTGCGACCAGCATGGATCCAGACCAGCCTGCGCATCCGCGCAGTCTGATCAGGATCCATGCTGTTCGCTTACCAACTCTATTACAAGTAGAGAAACGGATAGCGAACAGCATGGATCCAGATCAGGTTCGCTTACCAACTCTATTACAAGTAGAGAAACGGATAGCGAACAGCATGGATCCTGATCAGACTGCGCGGATGCGCAGGCTGGTCTGGATCCATGTTGGTCGCAAACCCATTATGTTGGTAATGTCGTGATACGGCTCAAATATTATCTGAATTCTTTGTGTTAATGAGACAGCCTTTTCAATCTTTTGTGGTGTGTGCTGTGAAAATACGGTTTTATTACAATGGCCCGACTTTTATGTTGTGAATTCTAATTTCTATGATTTGAGATGAAGTCAGACAGTTCTAATTTCTATGAAGGGTGTTGTGAACAGCAAATTTTAATTTCATTAGAGTTGTGAATTTATAGAAAAAATGTATTGAAGAGTAGTAAGTCTAATTGATATTTCTTAACTTCAGTTTAGCTAAAATAATGTTCGAAACGAACATTATTTTTACTTAAAATTTAGAATCATATGTATTCAGCAGTTTATTTCTGAATATAATATACAAAGTTAATCATACCATTGTATAAAAATGTGTTGGTATGACCTCCGATCACAAGGTCAACACCGTCTATACCCGCTACTTGTTTGTCCATGTCAAAACCAGCATGTCCTAGAGCTATTATCTTGTTTATTCCCTTTGCTTCAAGCGCGTGCACTTCGTCACGTACCGTTCTAAGAATACCATTAAATTTGACAGTTGGTCCTACAAATTAGAATAATAATACAGTAAATGTTTCTATCAAATGATTAGCTGGCACTACAGAATATATCTAATATTATGCTTCATCTATGTTTTGTTGAAGAAACGAAAAGATATCAAAGATATTCTTCTTTCCTGTCATTTTAACGCCCGGCAAACTGTCGCTCCACTTCAAATGTGCGGTGCACGGAAAAAAAACGAGCCGATTAAACGACTAGTTGTAAGTATCGTTTGTGTTTTTGTCTGGTAATTCATATAATTTGTATTTTTTCAAAAATCGATCAATGTTAAAAATAGAGAAATAAAGAATCCCTAAAGAAAGCTCAACACGGCAAAACTATAAATGTTGCAGGCTCGGTTTGATTGAGCCTGTTCATGGACGGTAATGGAAAGTGCAAGTTACCGTCCACGCCCCCTAGCACCGGCTTTAGCAGAATTCAACATTTAAACACGAAAATGGTGAAATTTTGAATTGAAAAACATCCGCATGTGTTCATATGGCGGTTATCATGGAACCTTCAATGTGACACAGTAGTGCCATTCCATGAAAAGCGGCGTATGGTCCCCAAGTAAAAGAAAGCTTGTGCCCTAAACGAGAAAACAATGGGCGGAACAAAATCAAATGGAATTTTGAAAAGGGATCTGAGGTTATGAAGCCTGCATATCACAGATATGACGTCAAAAGACAGATTTAAAAAGCAGGCAACATATCCTAAGGGTGATTTTAAACAGTATTCAAGTAGGAATACTGGAACCACCAAAGTTGAAAAAGGCCAAATAGAAGAAACTAAATGTACCTCATAACATGTATACACAACAATAATGTCGTGCCGAACGATATTCAAGGATCGAAAATATAACATCATTGATTAAATGTACGGGGAGACTTTTTACAGCCGCCACACAGCACAAATAACACGGATGTGACAATGAAATAGAGAAATAAAAAATCCCTAAAGAAAGTTCAACACGACAAAATTGAAAATGTTGCAGGCTGGGTTTGATTGAGCCTGTTCATGGACGGTAATGGAAAGTGCAAGTTACCGTCCACGCCCCCTAGCACCGGCTTTAGCAGAATTCAACATTTTAACACGAAAATGGTGAAATTTTGAATTTAGAAACATCCGCAGATGTGTTCATATGGCGGTTATCATGGAACCTTCAATGTGACACAGTAGTGCCATTCCATGAAAAGCGGCGTATGGTCCCCAAGTAAATGAAAGTTTGTGCCCTAAACGAGAAAACAATGGGCGGAACTAAATCAAATGGAATTTTGAAAGGGGATCTGAGGTTATGAAGCCTGCGTATCACAGATATGATCCCGGTAGAGCCCTGGCAGTGCCCGGTTCATTTCAAAAGAATCACGACAATTTGCGATGATTGCACTTGTTTGTATTAAAATCCTTCCCATCTCCCTTCTATTCAGTCTTGCATAAAGATTTTTCAGAAAATCATCGTAAATTACTTTTCTGGAACAATAGATACATGTATTATATTTAATAAAAATTATGTATCAATGTAATCATTTTCACTCTTTTTCAATCCAGCGGGATTCTACCGGGGCTCTGCCTGGATCGTCCTGGGCTCTGCCGGGGCTCTGCCTGGATCGACCGTGGCTCTGCCTGGGGCTCTTCCGGCGTCATCCAGGAACGACTGGGGAAGCACCGGCATGAACCGTAGCTTCACCTGGGTTCTGCCTTGATAAGCTGGAGCGCATCCTGGGTGGTTAGTTGGGAATGACCGTAGTGCTGCGGGGTAAGTGTGACTGCAACAATAATTTAATCCCGGTTCATCCCGAGAGTAAGTGAGACCACAGCTTTACACGTCGGATTTCTTGAAAAAATTGTATTAGAAAAATATCAAACCGTAACAGGAACAAGTCTATCATGCAAAATAAACTAATCCTCGTGGATTTCTTAAATTTTGTATTTATTTTTTTAAGTAGTGGAGCAAATAAACAAGAGATCTACCATGTAGATAGAAATAAATAAAGTTACAAATCTGGACGTAGACAGTGTAACAGCATGACAGCAAGTCAACGTGACTGCGGGACAACGTGATAGCGTGACATTGTGTCATCGGGACAACATGCCAGCGGATCAACGTGACTGCGGGACAACGTGATAGCGTGACAGTGTGACATCGGGACAACATGACAGTGAGTCAATGTGACTTCAGGACAACGTGATAGTGTGACATCGGGACAACGTGACAGTGGGTCAACGTGACTGCGGGACAACGTGATAGCGTGACAGTGTGTCATCGGGACAGCGTGACAGCGGGTCAACGTGACAGCGGATCAAAGTGACAGCATGACAGTGTAACAGCGGGACAGACAGAAAAGGACACATCTGCATGTCCCATTCCTTTAAGTGGGCAGGGGCAATAAAAAACATACTGAACTGTTTTACATGTCAGTGGAATGATATGCTTATCGCGGTCAACACAACTTTTAAGAAATTTTAATTTTTTTTTTTTTTGGATAAAAATAATGGTCCGATTGCGATAAAAACGCTGCAAGGTCCGTTCTGTTTAGTACATCCAATGAACTATCAACGCAGCTGTTTATATGGACTTCCCCGCAAAGTAAATGGGATCCGAAATTGTGTCCGACGCATGAAAATCCTGCCTTTGCTTACGGATGAAAAGGTTTGTTTCAATCGTGTCTTTTTTTCCTACATTTGTCATTCATTGAATATGTAAGGAACTTTTACCAAATTATAAAGATTCGATAAACTAACCTGGTTTCGAAATTTGTGGTGTTTCAGGTGTGGTGTATCCTATAATTCCAATTGTTTCCCCACCAACAGACTTTTCAACAGATTTTAAAAACTTCCCATCTAGACGAGGCTCGTTCGTTATATCTGTGTTGACGCTTAATACAGGGAACGTGACTTTGTCTAGAAACGTCACGAGCGGTCCAACTCCGAGATCAAATTCATGATTCCCAAGACACTGTAAATATAAAGATTGATAACATACTTTTTTGAATAATAATATTAAAATTAAAAAAAAATCAAGAATTGTTCGTCAAACAACGCACTCGACCTTTCTCATAAAAAGAACATAACTCTGTTACTCCGACTTTTGGGACTTTTGTCTATCATGTTAGATAATAACAGAGAACAAGTTTGTGAAAATTCAGCCTATTCTCTTCAGTAATTTTGAAGATACCAACGCAAAAGTTAAACAAAATGTGACGGCGACGACGAAGCCAGGTGAATACTAGCATACAATAGCTGTCCCTTTTTCATCGAATAGTCGAATATGTTGCTCTTTTTGATATTATAAGATTTTGTGCATCATTTTACATGACCCCTTGGAGGCACCGATGGTTTGCAAGACCGCCGAATTATAAAAAATGTACATAATTATTTAATATGAAAATATATAGTATATTCATATTAACAAACCATTGCATCATATCCCAATTTATTCATGAAAAATGATGTAGCCATTCCGGAATAAACATTAAACCAAGTTGTTCCCATAAACTGGTCACCAGCATCAAGAAGCAAAACGTTGTCATGACTTTCACGTATTTCACGAATTTTCGTAGACCTCCTTGAGATGCCTCCGAAACATTTCCCATCTCTCGCATCGTTATCAGAACAATCAGATCCGTATTTGTTAAACTGTTCAAATCTAGCATGAACGTCATTTGTGTGTAACACAGTCAATTCATATCCAGCTATCACGTGTAGTGACGAAAATAAAATGCACATACTCCAAAACATATTGTGTAAATAATAACAAAATCGAGGATGTTTAACGTACATTTTCAAATAAAGAGAGATCTTATAAATTAATCGCGTTGTTTTCACCTCACTCGCATCTGTTCAGTCGACTGTGACAATAACGTAAACAAATTTTAAATTAGTTTATTTGTATTCTTAACACGACTGATTTTAAGGTGATAAAGTACTTAAACTTTAAAAGGCTTGGACATGTTTGTTTCTTGTCTTTAAAGTCTGTAGCTTTACAAGTGTAATAGTGGTCAGGTTCTAATGAGAATCAATGCTTTACACGGAGACCAAACGATCACAAATTATAACTTTAGTAAATTCTCAGGGCTCAGTAGATTTATATATAAGTGTCACTTTATAAAGATGATGGACTAAACAACAACAACAACTAGTAAATACAATTTCAATCGATGCTTTTAATATATGAAAAGCCCTAACAAATTTAATGAGTATACTAGTTAATCAAATTAAATTTAGTTTTATATTAAGAATAACTATATTTATTATTTAATCAAGATTATGTTTATGATATATTTTATATGTGGTTGATTATAATAAACGTAAACGTTTGTTAGGGACTAAGTCCAGTTTAATGTTTCAAGGCTAAGCCTTGTTGTACTGACCAGAGTAGGTACAGTACTTAACCTAGCTAACATATTTTTATGCGTTTATTTAAGGTCGCCGCCAGAAAGCCTATATGGGCGACCGTACACTCAAGTCGGGTCATCCTAGAGCGTCCCGCCGAGATTTTCGTCGATTTTTTCCAGCTTCCGGCGGAGGAAGACCCCAGGTGCCCCTCCGGGCATTATTTCAGGCACGAGCGGGCACCGACCTTCCGTAAGACCCGAGTGAGGATCGAACCCACAGTGGTGAGGGACCTGTGATCTCAAGTCAGCGACTTTAACAACTCGGCCACGGAGGCCCCTGTCCTAGCTAACATTGTCAAAGTCAGCTTATTTATACAATTCAGTATTCACTGCAACAATTTGATTGGTTGAGAATAATATTGTACATACCATGCAATAAGTAAGAAAGACAGTAACTTTTAACTGTTAACTTAGATTACTGTAAATACCCATCCTATTACACAAGTAAAGGAAAGTTACACGTTTAAAAAAATCAGAATTAATAAATCTGCAGCTGCCGTGAATGTATATGGGTGATATTTTTTGTCACCTATGTCCCACAGATACTTGGGGTTTGGAGCTCAAAACGCCTTTAAAATCCAAATAAAATGCATATTTGTCAATGCCAGGACATGTACTGATCATATATATCAAAAAATCTTAATATATGCCGTTTTGAAAAAAAATCATATTTCAACAACTATAATAATACACAAGATAAAAATGTTCGCCGGAAAAAATCCGCACCCTTACCGTCATAATCGCCATGTATTTAATTCCATTTCCAATATTTCACATAATCCTTTGGTCCATCGACACAGAAGATATAATTCTTCACGATGATGGTCAATTTTAAACTTCAACGGTAATATAAACAACGCAACAGCCGAAATAAACATCAATATTATCGCCGTTTTTTTTCAACGACAAAATCTTTCGATAAATTCAATAGACCAGACGGCTATGAACGAAGCTATCCGATTATGTGGCCCCAGCTTTGCCGTGTGCAAAATGCGCAGCGCTTTTAAGTTTGGGAACCACATAATCGGATAGCTTCGTTCATAGCCGTCTGGTCCATTGAATTTATCGAAAGATTTTGTCGTTGAAAAAAAACGGCGATAATATTGATGTTTATTTCGGCTGTTGCGTTGTTTATATTACAGTTGAAGTTTAAAATTGACCATCATCGTGAAGAATTATATCTTCTGTGTCGATGGACCAAAGGATTATGTGAAAATATTGGAAATGGAATAAAATACATGGTGATTATGACGGTAGGGGTGCAGATTTTTTCCGGCGAACATTTTTATCTTGTGTATTATTATAGATGTTGAAATATGATTTTTTTCTCAAAACGGCTTATATTAAGTTTTTTTGATATATATGATCAGTACATGTGCTGGGATTGACAAATATGCATTTTATTTGGATTTTAAAGGCGTTTTGAGCTCCAAACCCCAAGTGTCTGTGCTATGTCCTATTAAAATGTACGTTACAAATCATCCGCAGTATTCTCTCGAATATCATTTTTGTAATGAAAACTTATCACAACGACAATGAGAGTATTAACTCTATTTATGCGATTATCAAATATTTCGATCTTCGCAATAAATTCACGTAGCGTGGCGACGTATTTTAGTAAGTGAAGATACATATTTTTACTTTAACTGCTCTTTTATGGAAATCAATCACTTTGTAGATTATCCATCACGCCAGTTATTCATCCATGAAATGTATAAAATTGCTTATAATTATGTATAATATATTCGAGTACCGTTGATATTTAATGATCCATTACTATAAGCCGAGAAAATGTCAGCTGAACACTAGAAATTCTGAATATCAACATCTTAATACTAAGCATATTGAAATTATACTACGTGAGAGAAAAAAAGTACAGCTTAACCTACAGTGTAGTTTTTCGTTGTAGTTGATCAACTAGTTAATGGTCAGCCACATAATGATTAATTTGGTTTATAATTTTTTTAGTTTTGGTCAGTTGTGTAGGAAGCTTCAAGCATATTTATACATTTTCATTTTTATGCACCCACAATGTGGGAGAATATAGCGTTGCACTTGTCCGTCCGTCCTTCAGTCCGTCCGTACGTCCCGAAATCTTGTGAACGCAACTCCTCTTAAACCGGATGGCAGAGTTTGTTTAAACTTACAGGGATGAATAACCTTAATGTGTAGATAGTAGTAAAGGAAGGAATTTACGCTGCGACCAAATTTAAGAGAATTACGGCCCTTTGTTGATTTTTTCACTAGATACTATGTAGAAATTTTGTGAACGCAACTTCTCTTAAACCGCCTGGCAGATTTTGCTTAAACTTCCAGGGATGAACAACCTTAAAGTGAAGATGGTAGTAAAGGAAGGAATTTTCTCTGCGACCAAATTTTACAGAATTATGGCCCTTTGTTGATTTTTTCACTATATACTATATAGAAATTTTGTGAATGCAACTCCTCTTAAACCGGGTGGCAGATTTTGCTTAAACTTCCAAGGATGAACAACCTTTATGTGTAGATGACAGTAAAGGAAGGAATTTTCGCTGCAACCAAATTTAACAGAATTATGGCCCTTTGTTGATTTTTTCATTATATACTATGTAGAAATTTTGTGAACGCAACTTCTCTTAAACCGGATGGCAGATTTTGCTTAAACTTCCAGGGATTAACAACCTTAATGTGTAGATGGTAGTAAAGGTAGGAATTTTTGCTGCGACCAAATTTAACAGAATTATGGCCCTTTGTTGATTTTTAGTTTTCAACTTGTGGCACATGTAGTCCAAAAAATATTTGACCTAGAGTCATAAGATTGACAGAACAGTGGCGTGTGGGGGCATCCGTGTCCTATGGACACATTTCTAGTTATTGCTATAAAAAACAACCAATACTAAATGGTTAGTGTTAAGTTTCTTGCCCATTGAAACAACGGTTTGCCCTGACGGGGTTTGCACCCACGTAGTCATAAATCATTACCTTACTGTTCAAACGCGTTAACTACTCGGTCAGGCCGGTGTAAAAAAAGTAGTGACCCAAATAGAGTTATGACCCATGGTCAATTTCTTGTAAAGAAAATTCACCCCTTGTCCCCGATCATAACATTATGATAACTTAAATAATCATGTTTCTAGCTTGGAAACTACAATTATAGCAGAACATACAAGCTGGATTTAAAGAAGACTGCCTTGCAGAACATGAAAAATGAACTAAAACACGCGTATAAAACAAAGAAGGAACTGAAACAAGCGTATTGAACAAAAAATAAACTAGTTAATGAATGTGAAGAATTGGAAATAGAAATTATTGGTCTCAAGGAGCAGCTCACAACAACTTGAGAAACTTGATAATTTCACTCCCATTCACTTGAACTTTTTCTTCTTATTGAATAGGTAAAATATTTATCATAACTGAATTTTTAGCCTTTTTTTAAAACTAAAATGTTTTTTACTTTTATAAAAAAAAAACGACTTTCAGAATTCACGAACTTGATGTCAGATTAACAGGAAAAGGAAAATAAGAAAGGAGTTTTGAGGCAATATCGAGAAAGGAAACGTCAATGGCGATACAATCTGTTAGAATGCGTTACAAGTTTGAAACAAACTGAATCTTACCCACGTTATTTGTCACTTTCCTTCGCCATTATTCCGTATCGTACCATTTCACCTTGCTTAAAAAATAACGTACCTTTTATGTTCCACCCCCTGATTCTGATCCCTATACACGAACTGCGTATCTGTCGAATGTTTCACTATCGTTCATTATGTGAAGTAACGCAAGCTTATTCACTGAGCTACGAAGCAAAGATGTCCACTTTAGGAATTTGGACCATCTCCTTCTCACCCATCTTAGAAAATGAGCACCCTAACCATATAGCAATAGCAGAACATTATAAAATAAATTGATGTTTGTATATTTAGTTAATGTTTGTAAATTTAGAAATCATTTACAAAAAAATACAGGATATGAAGGAAATAATTTTTCGCCGTTTGGGACTTGGAAAAAAAAAGGTTCGCTATAGCCGGAAATTTGTTTTAAACGATGTGATTTAATATAAAAAATATATAATATCAGAAAGAAGGAATCGACCGGGGATTTCTGATTTATTTTGCTATTAACGTTAATTCGTGTTATATGCGAGTTCGTTGTTAACAGTGAAAGTAAGAAAATGATCACCTCGTAGGAGTAAATGAACCCAATCTATTTTACCGTATTGAAATTGTATAGTACAATGTAAGTTACGATAATATCGTATTTCAAAATTATGATGCAGATTATTTTAATAAATGGACTCGGAAAAAAACTACACTCAGAAAATTTAAGTAAAGAAAACGCCAAATGATTGTCCAATTAGCTGTGATAGTAAATTTTGCCTTCGGTACGACTTAGCTAAGACAATCACGGGGGCCAACTTCATTATGGCTCACCGAAATGTTGGTTTCCGGTAAAACGTTTGAATGGTTAAACTCTTATATATTTTTGGAAATTTAACCCTTTCGCTGCCAGAGGGTTATTGTTTTATTGTTCACCTATTTGCCGGAGGATTTTCTAAGAAATTTATATAATTATTATTATTTGTTATTAGTATTATAATAATTATATGCGTTTCCAAATCTGTTAGTATAATAATAATTATTGTCGATGGTATAATTTTCTTTATATTTATTATTATTTTTATTATTATTATTATTAATTTTTTATTATTACTATTATTATTATAGAAACGGCTAAAGCCGTCCATATGGCAAATACGCCGTAAATAACAGGGACGGCTTAAGCCGTCCCTATGGAAGTGAAAGGGTTAAGGTATAATTGAAAAAAAATTCGAAATGCTTTTCAACCCTTTAACAGCTCCTTTATAGTTGCATGGAACTTGCTGTTCATATCGGATACCATATAAAGATTGTCCCTCGTGACAAGGGGTGAATCAAAAGATACTGTAATTGTTTACATTTTTTATTTATTTATTTATTTATTTATTTATTTATTTATTTATTTATTTATTTATTACTTTATTACTTTATTACTTTATTACTTTATTAATTTATTAATTAATTAATTTATTTATTTATTTATTTATTTATTTATTTATTCATTCATTTATTTCTTTCTTTATTTATTCATTCATTCATTTATTCATTCGTTCATTTATTTATTTATTTATTTATTTTTGAGTTGTTTTCGGAACGATAAGCTATCAGAATTATAATCATTCTAATCCGTTCAGCCTCTTTGAAATTTATTAATTTTGATAATTTTTATATTGTCTCTCATAATTGGAGGAATATATCAAAAACTTTTTCTTATCTTGCAGAATTCATAAGGGAGAAATGTAAACATCGGTAAACAATGTTAGGAACTCAGAAAGTTTTGCCAATTAAAACAGACAAACTCATATTTCTTTTTCGTTTGTACTTTTGTCTATGGTATTATAGAACAAGTTGCAACCTTGCAATTTATTTTCCATTGATTGATTGATTTGTTGATTGATTGATTGATTGATTGATTGATTGATTGATTGATAGTTGATGTGCTCAGTATTTATTTCCTGTCTGTATGATTTCGTTTGTTTAATCGTACATGTTTTCAAAGTCATTGAAACTTTTATATCACTTTAAGCAAATAATTGTTCAATACTTTACAAATTGGAAAACAGGTAATATATACGGAAAATTATGTTGTAGTAGCTTTCTGAGACTATGTATTTTTCCACGAGCAGCGGTGGAAAATTGATCAGTTTATCAATTTTCCTACGTTGCGAGTAGAAAAATACATAGTCTCAGAAAGCTAATATAACATAATTTTCCTTTTATTATATACCTTTTCGTTTTATTCAGAAAATGAAATGTAGTTGTCAAGAAATAAATTCATGACTGACGGATGAATAAGTATTTATTGGCCACGCCTTTAATAATTTTGGTTCCCGTTTCCAAATGCAACGTTATACAAAGCTAAGATCGGAACCAACCTTTTATTATATACTTATACATTTTCTCCCTATAATACACGCAAATATTGAAGCGCAAATACGCTTATAGAAATTTCCGTATTATGTTAGTGACGACAAATACGGTACCATATATGGAAGTGCCGGACTATTTTTGACGTTGGTTCCGATCTTAGCTTTGTATAACGTTGCATTTGGAAACGGGAACCAAAATTATTAAAGGCGTGGCCGGTTTGCAATAAATACTTATTCATCCGTCAGTCATGAATTTATTTCTTGACAACTACATTTCATTTTCTGAATAAAACGAAAATGTATATAATAAAAGGAAAATTATGTTGTAGTAGCTTTCTGAGACTATGTATTTTTCTACTCGCATCGTTGGAAAATTGATATCTCGCTCGACCTTCGGTCTTGCAAGATATCAATTTTCCACCGCTGCTCGTAGCAAAATACAAAGCCTCAGAAAGCTACTACCACATAATATTCCGTATATACAGTGTATATTCATTGTGTAAACGAAATTTCTGTATCATTTTATAGCAAGCCTATACTAATCGATGTATACGATTATTGTTATTAAAAGTCCATTTTACTGTCGATCACTGTATCTGTCGATATCACTGTATTGCAAGCTTCTAATATTTCTTTTTTTCTTATCTGAAATCAAACTCCAATATATTTGAAAGCCATAGAACAAATTATTATATATATAATACGAGTATATCTTAATTTGTTATGTTACTGTCACCTAACTGATGATGATGAGCAACACGGGTAGAAGAAAGTGAAACAATAACTACATATACATATATCAAACACTTGAAATAGACATGTATTATAATGAGGGTTTTCTGGGATTATTTATTTATTATTTTATTTGTTGTGATGGGGGGTGGGGGCACGTGCGCTCCCCTTACTCCCAACCCTAAGCTCTCCATTGATGATTTGTATAGTTTTCACTTCATGATTTAAAATCTAATTTGTTATACCATATACATATATTTTACCCGGCAGATTTTTTTACCATTAACGAGGTACGTATGTACTAATTTGTACTATATACTATAAATCGTGACTCTGTAAACAGAGAAGTGTTACTAATAATAGACAGGTGAAATACCAGATTACTACAACAAAAGAAAACTAAACCGAACTAACCGTGACAATATCACGATGCAGATATATTTATAAACTTCTTTTGCATAGCTAACCACGAACTGTATAATCATTAAACTACGGAGTACTGTTTTGGACATTTGTTCATATAAGGTAAGATATGTTCTACATGTATTCAACGCAGACTGTTGATTCATTGTTTGAAATAAATTGTGTTTAATCTTAACTTGATAGGGGTATTTTTTTTTCCAAAAAAGCTTAAGTTGAAGTTATAACATGAAATTTTGATATATTTCTCCACTTCTAAAGTTTACATAGAATAAAAAATAAAGATAATAATAAAACAAACATACAAGTATATTCAAGTAAATGCATTTCATGCAAAATACGGAAAATGAAAAATAATGACAAGTTGACAAAATATTCAGACTTTTGCATACTAGACAGTTTAATTACATTTAATTTCCATGAGCATATCCACTTAACCTTTTCCTTTATATAAGCCTGTTTCGACGGCTTTTGTCCCCCCCCCCCTTTTTTTGAGGCCTCAAACAGTGAAAAAATGCCCTTTTTAGGCCCCAAACACTGTTTTTCGTTTGAGAAATGTTATTAAAAAAGTGACCAATTTTTCGGCGCCGTCCCCCATCCAAATATTACATCAGGGGGTTGCCAGAAGGGGTATGTGCCCCCTTCTGATTGGGGGGTTTGAAGGGGAGGGGGCGGAATCCCCCTCATCGCCAAGAAAATTTTGGACATGTGACAGGCTAAAATAGCCTCAGGTTGATCTTAGGGTAACAAGTTACCGACGCTGAAAAGCCTTTTACTCTATCTCAATTCATTGTGAAGTTGCAGCACTTTGAAATCAGTTTTGATGGAAAAAACAATGTAATATAGTGATTTTTGGCAATTTTGAGACGTCCCCCCGTTGCCATGGTAACAGGAAATTTACGATTGAGCATGCTGTTACAGAGGCTATGGTGTAGTCAACACTTGTGCCAAGTTTCATTAGTATTGAAGCATTTTTCATAGTTTCATAGCAGTTTGAACTTGTTACAGGAGGCTTTTCAATGAAAACGGCCATTTTTCGCAATATGCTCATGGGTTAAAACGTTAATAAAAAAATAAAAAATGTCAAAAAACAACAATTTTTCACCAAATTTTGGTGTAAGGGCATGTGTTAACATGGAAAAATCTAGTTTTTGTGTAATTCCAAGGTTTTTCATCATTTTTTGTCGCTTCATGGAAAATAAACCATTAGTTAAATATAAGTTCTTAATGTTTGAAATTTAGCAGAATCTATTCTCATTTGTTTCTAAAATGATAATTTCAGATAACTAAGTGTCAAAATCTCCACATCTTTCTATATAAACTGTGCTATAAATAGAAAAAAGTGCGACTATACGATGGCCCTCCTACGCGACCATACATATCTTTTTTTATCTTAATATAAAAAGCAAAGGGTAGCAGGGTAGCAGACTTTAAGAAAGGACGTGGATACTGCAAGTGTTTAAAAGGTTTGTAGTTTACTTAAATTATATTATTATCTATTTCTTTTACTTGTAAACATTAATGTATTTTATAACTATGTACTAATTGATAAGATAAGTAGGGTGTTGATCTGGCGATTAATATGCCTTCCGCACAACCGGTTGGAGCGGGCTAAAATCTGATTTTTTTTAAGTTGCATGAATTTGGTTAAAAATCGTACTTAACTACTTATATTTCAATGTTACTTTAAGGATATTTTTGATTAATAAAAAAACAAATAAGTGGAGATTGATTTTTTTAATTTGAAAGAACAAATTATGGATGTGCTTTAAAAATACATAAAAATATTTTACCATTTAAAGCATAACACTCTTAACACCAATAATAATTATTGCTGATATATTATCACTTATTATAAACCAACACTAAGATATTATTCTTTTTAATATTTAATCAGTTCAATGAAAAAAAAACACAAAAAAACAAAAAAAAAACCAAATGAGCCGCGTCACGACAAAACCAACATAATTGGTTTGCGACCAGCATGGATCCAGACCAGCATGCGCATCCGCGCAGTCTGATCAGGATCCATGCTGTTCGCTTTCAGTTTCTCTACTTTTAAGAGGGTTTTTAAGCGAACAGCATGAATCCTGATCAGACTGCGCGTATGTGCAGGCTGGTCTGGATCCATGCTGCTCGCAAACCCATTATGTTGGTTTTGTCGTGACGCGGCTCAAATAGAATTGAACATGCCGAAATAATTTCTATTAACTTAAGCATGTTAAGAGTATTGTCTGACTTAGAAACATTTGTGACAGATGTATGAGATTTTGCTGAAAGTGAATTCACAAAATAAGCAAAACAAAGTATGAAATATTCATTGAGAAAATTGATACTTTAAAACGTTTCTAAATACGTACGATAATATTAGGGAGAGGTTGAAAATCGTGCGCTCCGTGCGAAAACGTCGTTTCAGTGACATAAAAAATAAATTGTCCATTATGTGCTCAAATTACAATAGAAAATGTCAAACGCAATTTATGCAGTTTAAATGGATGAAACAAAATTTTGTTGATTCATTCATTCATATAAAACAAAACTCACTCGCGCACGTACTTGCACACTCATTTACCCAAGACAAACCAACTAACATACCAACCAGCTCAACCGAAAAACTCAGTCACCAAAACCAAAGAAAACAACAACAACAAAATAGAAAGTTTCCCTCAAAATTCATTCTATTGACCAAACAACCGCCCAAAAAATCAAAATAGTGCAAAACTCTTTGACAAATGTGTTACAAATAAAATTAATTTTTGACATTATAATAAAGGTTCTCTGCTTTAAATAACATGTGTTCCGCAACCTTCTTTTCATCAGTTGTTGTCAATAATTTACTTACATATTCATTCTTCAAACAAACAGAAAAAAAAAAACAACAAACAAGCATCCTTAATTATTTACAAACGCACGTTATATTTTTATTTCAGGGAAGATGAAACTTTCTTGCATCCTTGTTCTTGCGGGCGCTTTTATTTTTCAAGCGTCAGCTGAGCAAATATTGACTGATGAAGAAATACAAATGATGAGAAATAATAATTACACGATAACTGTAGACGTGGACAGTAGCACTATCACGTATGAACATACTGGAGTGCCCGACCATACATCTGATAAAGGATGGGGAAATAATAATGATGCAGAAATAGTCAATCACAGATATACACTTCCTCTTAAACCTACTGTTTCTTCTCCAAAGGGTTGTGCAGGAGGGCTTGGTGTTGTAGGGCTTGCAGTTAGTGGTGCGGCGTTTTATAACCCCTATACTGGATTCGGATGGGACGCTGTTCATGGTGAATGTGCGGAGGAGCTTGACAGCTGCAGGGGTCATCCAAGTCCTAATGGAGCATATCACTATCACGGTGTCCCGGAATGCCTTTATACAGGAGATCTTGCAGACAAGTTCTTAGGTGTAGCTCTAGACGGTTATCCAATCTACGGACCAATGGACAGCACTGGTAAAAACTGGACCTCTGCCGAGTTAGACAAGTGTCATGGACATACATATAATGGAAGGTACATGTATAGAGCAACATATGACTTTCCATATCTGATCAGTTGTTTCCATGGAAACAGTGTTAAAGCTCAACAGTCGGGACCAGGTGGTGGCAATGGTGGCAATGAAACACGACCACCACCAATGGACGGCAGACCCCCGGGCGATGGGCCTCCAAATAATGATGGTCCAAATGGCGGTGGAGAGATGACAGGGAAATGTTTTACTGCTAACTACCGAAACTGGGACTCTGAGATTTGTTACGTTGTGTGTAAGAATCCAGGAAACGATCTTGAAAACTGTTCAGAGAATGATATTGGCGGAAGCACGTCGGTTTTCGATGCTTTATCTGTAATATACATCCTTGTCGCAGCGTTCGTTGTTACGCATTTTTGCCATTGAACAATATGAATTTCAATTAACAGTCGTGAATTGCTTTTAGCCCTGTAGCCATATCATGGTATATAACATATAATATTCGATACTTTTCTAGGACTCTGTTTTGCAAATAAGTAACATGTTTTGAAAAATACAACAATCAAGTTATTTTAAACTTACATACGCGCAGAAATTAAATTGTATAAACTCATATAATTGTGCAATAAAAGATTGGAAAACAATGTGCAATAAAATAGAAAAAAATAGTTTTAGAAGTTAATTTATGTAAATAGATCACGTTAAAAATAATTTGAATGTGAATGAACTTTCTTATGTTTATTAAAGCTACTAACCTACACACGGTTGTTTAGTTATGATTTCAATGAAAAACAAAAATCACATGTATATCAATATAAACTTCTAATGATTTCTTTTGAAAACTATATACATTGTACAGGGAGAGTTTAAAAAAGATTGAATACATTTCGTTCCTTTTTTGATCTAGAAATTACTCTTTTTTTTTTTTTTTTTTTTTTTTTTTTGGTTGTTGTTTTTGTTGTTTCTTCAGCGCGCACCTTGCTAATTTCATGGTCTCCATAACGGCTTGCTACACATCAAGTTCCATTAAAATATGTAATTCTTAACTCTGTTTATTGACCGGAGACATTTTTTCTATTCTCGAAGTCATTAGGCTCTTGACCCTAAGCCAAGGAGGGACCATAAACGAATTCATAAGTGAGTTCTCAAGATAAGTTTACCAAGTCTTATTTCAATATGTCATTCCAAACTTGTTATTGACCGGAAACAAGTTGCAAAACAGAACAACAATAGAATATTATAAATAAGTTGGGTTAATACATAAAATTCTACAGTAATTCAAAGTCAAAAAAGGGGCTTTTATTTAAAAATTCTTGACAGAGTTATGTCCTCTTGTATCGAAATAAGAACGATAGTCCCTTAATTACAAATAATCAAAATTTCAAAATAACACCTCAAAACTTAAAGAAAATAATAAGGGCGGTACAAAAAAACTTCGGAAAAAAAGTCGGAAAATGGCTTTAATTTAATCAAAATTTAGTACAGTTATGTCACCTGGCTGGAATCGGGGATGATAGCCATTAACAATAATTCTAAGGCTCAAAACAGTACAAATAAATGAGGTGGTACGGAAATCTCAAATTACAAATATGACGTAGACATAGGCTCTGATGCCGACACCGAAGCTCGGATGAGTAGGGTAGCTATGTGTATTGTATACATATAACAGTCAAGCTAGGAATAAAGTTTAAAAGTATAAATTTCTTAGGCACTGTTCGTCTGCTCAGTGAGTTGAGTTATATCCACATATCAAATTTCAGGTTTCTAACTGAAATAGTTAAGTTTTATATAAAGGTGAATGTGTCATAACTGAACGCCGGACGAACGGACGGACAGAAGAACGGACTTACCTACAATATTGGATGATTTTTGTTTGCTGTTTGTTTAATCTTGATGTAGCATTATTTAAATTACATAAACCAATAGAAATTACTACTTTAACTAACGGTTAAATTAATATGTAATTTCCTTGGACAGGATGAAGCTCATACACAAGTGGACGTTTCTCATGGCATGAAAGACGAACATCTAGAGTATTTGGTTCAATATAAAAATACTGATAATTAAACTTGGGTTAGTAAAAAAACACATGAATAATATTTAATTATCTATGATCATAAAATGAAACATAATTATTAAATCTAAGTGGCAGAAAAACTCAATGGAAAATACATAGCACGTTGTTAAAGATTTTATAGAAAGATTAGCGCGAAATTATAGAAGATAAATGAGAAGATATATATACCAAGCTTTTATCTAGATTAAGTTTTCACCTAAAGGATATTAAAACATGAAAGTGTTACGAGGCTATATATATTAATTGAGAATTTTTATCATTTTCATTATAAGAGCCGCGTCACGACAAAACCAACATAATTGGTTTACGACCAGCATGGATCCAAACCAGCCTGCGAATCCGCGCAGTCTGATCAGGTCCATGCTGTTCGCTTACCAACCCTATTACAAGTAGAGAAACTGATAGCGAACAGCATGGATCCTGATCAGACTGCGCGGATGCGCAGGCTGGTCTGGATCCATTCTGGTCGCAAACCCATTATGTTGGTTTTGTCATGACGCGGCTCATTTTCATTATATTGTTTTGCTTGATGAAATTCCCTTAAGACAAATTCATCGATTTATTTGATGTGTATATTCATAAAACATCGTTAACTTTCAACCTGATAGTCATTTTCATTGAATTAATTTATCCGCATCATTGTTTTATTACCACCTGAATTAAGGTTCTTTATCCATATGTTACTCGCGTTATTTCTTTCATGCACGTTCCCTATGGTTTTTATATTTATTTGAGATGCGTTGATTTGATTTGATTTTGCTTCTGGTCAAATTTGCTTTAAAATTATCATTTTATTTTATTTGTAAATTACGAATTAATCATTATTTGGTAAAACTAAACGATTTTTTTTTAAAATGACGTGTAATATTCTCGATCTCTGAATTTTTGATAGTTAAAATCTTTGTACTGACTCTTAACAAGAGTAGGTAATTAGTCGTGTGTTTTTGAAGATTTAGTTCTTTAATGCTGTTAGGTTGATGATTTGTGAATTCGTCAAAAACATAATAATCAACACCATATAAACTATAAATGATTCAATAAAATGATTTAACAATTCCAAACAATTAGCTGTTAAATTCTTTTAGCAAAATACTAAATATCCGGTCGGTGTATGCTTACTTTTGAGTTCCAAATTCTTATCCGAAGTTTGACGGAATAGTCCGAAATTCGCAATTGGACTTTCGTATTTTAAACGTATTACTTGAAAGTCATTTGTTGGAATAGGCAAAGGTTGGTTAAAAAAAACAACAAATAAATAAAAATACAGATGAATATTTATGAAGCGTCTAGCAGCATAATTATATTCAAGCTAAACAGATCTTTACAAAATTTATTCTTCACGGAAAGTGGCGAATAATGCCGGAGTTTTACGAAACATATGGATGCAATACCTTAAGTAATACTAGTTATATATCAAGATTAACATATGCATCTCATCATCACAGATGCTCTTTACTGATCAGATATTAACCTAGACAAAAAAAAAGGTTGGGATTTTATTACACAGAGAAAAAATATGGTTAATCACATAGATCCGGGAATAAATCGTTTACCCTTTGCCGATGATTTTATCTCATCAGTACTATTGTGACCGCGGTTGAAAAAGAATAACGCTTCACTGATATCTTACAAAGTGAACTTTGTATTGAAGTTGAAAGGGTTAAAATGTTTTCCAGACAACTTATTATACAAAAAATCAGTATTCCATTTGGAATTTTATTTTTAACATTTTGTGCAATTTATGTAACAGGGTTTGAGATAACGATTTTACACACGAACGATGTTCACGCGAGAGTTGAGCAGTTTAATAAATATGGATCAGCGTGTTCAGGATCTGATGCCAGTGATGGAAAATGTTTTGGGGGCGTGGCTAGAAGACTTTCAAAAGTTCAACAGATTCGTAATAGTCACGAAAACGTTGTTCTCTTGGACGCTGGCGACCAATTCATGGGAACCACGTGGTTTAATGTACATCGTGGACATGCCACGGCGTTCTTTATGAATCAGCTTGGGTACAATACCATGGTAAGAAGTTAATTAAAATGCTTACTATCAAATATGTTTTAGACTTAATTTAAATGGTTGCTAAATGTATTTATCTTCAGATATATGATTATTCACTCTTTTTTGTCAATTTTTTTATGTAGTAATGCTTAAAGAAGTTTACCCACAATTATATTTTTAAATTTTAGTTAATTGAGTTTCTGCACCTGCAGTTTGAAACGTTGCCTAACATCATCTGTAAACCATCAATGTTCACCCTTACATGTAAACATGTGTTCATGCAACTTTATAAGTTTCGGTAAAACAGAAAGAGCCACATAATTTATATAGTGTATTAGGTGCATAGACACCTTAGACAAAATTTGACCAAGTGATGGACAAAGATGAACTATTTTATTACATTAATTACATATGTACTGTAGCCTAGCGTTTTATTTGACTGCTGGTATCAAAACATTGCTCGTTCTAAATTCACCAGGGACGGTGTAACAATTAGTGAAGAAGCTTTTCAGTTAGCTTAGAAGAGATTGTTCATTGAAATTTTGCAAGGAGGTCACGTGCGGTCTTTAATGAACAATTAAAGACCCACAAATCCCTATAAATATTTTGTAAATATGGAATCATAAAAGCCCAAGAAAAGATGCACGCATAAACTTCGATGTTAATTAATATTTACACATTGCTACATGTGTCTCGGTACAATAAATGAGCCGCGTCACGACAAAACCAACATAATGGGTTTGCGACCAGCATGGATCCAGACCAGCCTTCGCATCCGCGCAGTCTGATCAGGATCCATACTGTTCGCTATCAGTTTCTCTTCTTGCTATAGGGTTTGTAAGCGAACAGCATGGATCCTGTCAAGACTGGGCGGATGCGCAGGCTGGTCTGGATCCATGCTGGTTGCAAACCCATAATGTTGGTTTTGTCGTGACGCGGCTCAAAAAAAGCTCAGATGTCAGTCTCCTATACCTCGTGTCATCTGTGCCAAACAACATCTTTTATGTCCTTTGAAATGAGCATTTTCTTATCACAACGTTTGTCAATTTCAGACATTACAATTACTCCAGCTCTAATATAAGCCGCAAACATATGTAATTTTGTTAAGGTAGAGCATTCCATTTTAGAAAACTATCACGAGGTTGTCTAGGTAATAAGATCTTTGCTTCCCAATCCAAGATATAAGCCTAACCGGGATCACGACCATGTTTACTTACATCACACCAGTTTTTGGTTTGGTCCTGGAAGAAAAGGACTAGAGAGTGATTAACATATGCTTCATTATTTTACTACAGATTTGATTGAATTAGCAAGAATAATCTTGAAAATAAAAACGAACTAAAATAATGGTTTGGCGTAGTTAATCAACATTGTGCATCCTCATGCAAAGTAGACCATATATACAATGTTTTATTCCTGACTTATGAACAATTGGAATAATCATTTAAATCTTATCTTATCTTGTCTTATCTTATAAAGAAATTAAGAAAATAAATAAATATGTTGCACATTGTTTTTAAATTATATTTCAGTGCCTTGGGAACCATGAGTTTGACCTCGGAGTTGAACCTCTATCAAACTTCCTTAAGAACGTTACATTTCCGGTTGTGAGCGCTAATACTGATATAACGAAAGAACCACGTTTAAACGGAAAGTTTTTAAAATCAATTGTAACAAATGTAGGTACAGAAACCATCGGAATCATTGGATACATCACACCGGAAACATCACAAATATCTAAATCAGGTAAACCTGACAAATTAGTTCTAATAAAACCGTACATATTACTTTGTAATACTTTTCAGCTCAGTTGTAATAAGTGTTTATGTATACATTAGCCTTATAAAATTATGATTAGAGTAGAAATTGAGAATGGGCGTTGGGAGCATTGACTTCGTAGTTTGGTGTCTGCCACTGAACCCAGATATCGTGGGTCCAAGTCTTACTGAGGAATCAGGACTGTGTGTCCTAATATGACACCGGCACTGATTGCTTTTAAGAAGCGCATTTGTCCTGAGCCTTCGCAGTTAGTCCATTGGTACAAAGTATATTTGAGCCGCGTCACGACAAAACCAACATAATGCGTTTGCGACCAGCATGGATCCAGACTAGCCTGCGCATTTACTTGCGCAGTCTGATCAGGATCCATGCTGTTCGCTTACAAACTCTTTTACAAAAAGAGAAACTGATAGCGAACAGCATGGATCCAGATCAGACTGCGCGGATGCGCAGGCTGGTCTGGATCCATGCTGGTTGCAAACGCATTATGTTGGTTTTGTCATGGCACGGCTCATATAAGGGGAGGTAATTTGGCATTTAAAGAAATAATGTATACAATTATCAAGGGGCAGGACGTGAAGTGGTTGCACACTTGGTTCAAGCGAGCGAATTGGTTGCAAACTTGACAAAATGGTGAACACGGCGTGATTTTTTGAAACGGGTGAACGAATTTTTGCCAGGCAAGTTGGTTTCTTTGTTATTTTGAAGTTCATTAGTATGTCTATTCCATAATGCAATATATATGCCACACTCGGTTAAAGGTTTCAGCATCCTAGATTTTGTTTTGACGAAGTTATTGAAGATATAAACTGATCATGTAGATATTTTTTAATTTGACATGTGACTGTTCTGGTCGGTTTTTCTCCTAATTTATTCGAATTTGTAAGTTTTGAACTGCATTTAACAATAACAAACTATGTTACTGTCAATGCTGTATAAATGGTTTAGTTCGCAAGTCCGAAGATAACGTTCAATACACAAAAATATCTTGTTCAAGCACATTTTGGTTGCAGACTTATACTTCAAGCATTTTTGGTTGCAAACTTATTCTTATTCTATTGAATTCCATGATAAATCTTTGCAAAAGGAGTGTAGAAGGTTATATTTATTAACCTATTTTCAATGGCAATTATTGACATTTATGTACTGTTACTTGTTTTTGTCATAAATGTTATTTATACTTTCTTCTTTTACAACAATTATGCAATTTATGTTTCAAATAACATGGTTCTCAGTTCAATACTATAATCATCAGTAAAAGAATAGCATATAGAAAAATATTTATTGATACTTCAATTCTAAAATATGTCATCATATGTAAAATGCAAATGAAAACTACATACAAAACAAACGTATGTGAGAGTACTGTTGTATGTAAGTGATTTATTTTCATCATAAACATATAAGGACATGTGCACACATACGATGTTACTCGGTAAAATTTCCAAAGTTTATCAAAACCACAAGAAATGTTCGTATGTAAAGATCAGCAGTTGCTTTAGACATAAAGTATATAAATGAACTTAAAATATTTTTACAAACCGAAAGTTAAAATGACATGCTTGTTTACAATATTTCGGATTTGATGTACATCATATGTCAATTGGTATTCTAAAGATGATTTTGATTATTAGATCATAATATAAATGATATACGATTGGTTATTTACATTGACTGATACGTGACAAAACTACTTGAAGTCATTGTTCGAGTTAGGGAATTTGGAAGATGTTTCGATTGGTCAATAATAAGGAACAATTTAAAGAAACATGTGAATAATGCCCTTGTGTCAATGTTAATATAGTTTTTATCTACTATACAATCAAATTTATTTCAAATCTCAAAAAAGAACAATAATGAAAGCTGTTTGTTGCTATTTTTTCTTCTTTTCCTTTACAGTAAGTCATGCCAAGATATAAAAAAGTCCTAAGACTTTGTAAAAAGAAAAGAAGTATATCGAGGAGAAAATATGATGAAGATAAACACAACTGAACTTCAGTTTAGCATATTGTGTTTTATATCTATTTGAAAGACCCTGTGTTAGGATATATCTGCACGCATGCACAATTTGTATATATATTTCTTATTAGATGAACGGGTATAATTGCCTTAATATTGCTAATTATTAAAAAAAAATGATAAGTTATTCCTCGCTAAAATATGCATGCCACATTATTGACACAAAAGTTTGCAACCCAAAAGGCTTGAAGTATAAGTCTGCAACCAAAATGTGCTTGAACAAGATATTTTTATGTATTGAACGTTATCTTCGGACTTGCAAACTAAACCATTTGTACAACATTGACAGAAACATATTTTGTTATCGTTAAATGCAGTTCAAAACTTACAAATTCGAATAAATTAGGAGAAAAACCGACCAGAACAGTCACATGTCAAATTAAAAAATATCTACATGATCAGTTTATATCTTCAATAACTTCGTCAAAACAAAATCTAGGATGCTGAAACCTTTAATCGAGTGTGGCATATATATTGCATTATGGAATAGACATACTAATGAACTTCAAAATAACAAAGAAACCCACTTGCCTGGCAAAAATTCGTTCACCCGTTTCAAAAAATCACGCCGTGTTCACCATTTTGTCAAGTTTGCAACCAATTCGCTCGCTTGAACCAAGTGTGCAACCACTTCACGTCCTGCCCCTTGATTATATATCTAGTGTATTACTTTCTGCAGATATGAAATTTGCATTTCATTTCTTTATGATTAATATCTGAGCAGACATCAATTTTATACCTTTGAATTAAAATGATTCATCACACTGTACATTATAATTATGAGTCTAATAAAGGAATACAAATCAGAAATTGTTATTTCTGGTTGAAATACACGAAGAATGCTGTTATAAGTTTATGATATTTTCACAGTTTTTAAAGTTATTTAAATTTCTTAACTAAGATAACGTTATATATTTGTTTATTTCTGGTACTCTATATCTTTTGTATTTTTGTTTTCATGGATCTTTTTTTAAAAAGTACCCATATACAACAATAAAACTTAAAATGGTTGTCAATGTGTCCAATATCATGCATGGTCGTCCAAATGATTTCATTAAAGATAAAAGCATGTATAAAATTATTATAAAATTGGTTGATTTTATCTTATTACTTGTGGGTTAAGGCAAATAACGGTAGACTGATAATGATGGTAAAAAGACTTCTGTACAACAAACACAGTCATTGACTTTTGTTGTATTTTAAGTGTATAGGGTATCCCTTACATTTGTATAATGATGTACGTATTTATTTGCTTCATTACATCATTTACGTCAACAAAATCGCAAATATTGGTGATGATACAAAACCCTTTTTTGAAAGCTAATATAGCCAGAATTTTAATGTGTTCTTTTTCATTTGGAATGGTTTACTGACAACACTATACGTAGCTATAGTTTTTGAAATAAAATTTCCGTTCAAAACTTATCACAACATTTTATCTTTTCCTTGCGATAATTAATATTTTGTGTTATAATTTTATAATTTTTCTGTTTGTGGCTGCGACCGAGTGGTTAAGCGCTAGTGATCTAAGGACTGCTGGCCGCGTGGGTTCGAACCCCGTCAGGGACAAACTTTTGTCTCCTTGAGCAAGAATTTTTACACTGATTGCTTAGTACTGGTTGGTCCCAGGAACGGATTCGAGAGTGTTTCAATAGTTTCTAACACTATCGAATGAAAATAGATTTGTATAAGCTTCTTGTTGCCTGTCTGTCTGTCTGTCTGTCTGTCTGCGTATATGTATATATTATTTCGTAAAAACATAAAGAAACATTCTCTATCTCTAATATGAATCAGTTAACACTATTGGCGCCGATATATTTCAAAGTGCCTGAGAGTGTAATTGTATGATCAAAAGATGTGATGAAAAATATGTATTTTCAGGTCCAACTGTCAGCTTTAAAGACATTCTTACAACAGTACGTGAAGAAGTCCTAGATCTTGAATCTAGAGGAATAAACAAGATGATTGCTCTAGGACATGCTGGTTTTGACATGGACAAACAAGTGGCGGGTATAGACGGAATTGACCTTGTAATTGGAGGTCATACCAATACATTTTTATATAATGGTAAGGACTTGTTTCATCGGTTCCCTTTAGCTGTATAAAACATGTTAATTTATCGATCCGGCATCTTGGATCTTAGTACATGAAAATAATAGCAAAAAGCTCGTTAATGATATAACTAGTCCTTTTCGTTAAATCTTCACTTCAACGTAAAAGGCATATATTCCCTCAGAAATACATACTTTTTTAGAATTGTTACAAAAAAATTAAACATAAAATAAAAATGGTAGCATTCCTAAAGAATAATGGGGCTTTAAATTTCATACGTTATGTAAGAAATATTTTTAATAACGTATGACTGATTTCCGCTGAATGATTCATCTTGAACTATGCTAATATATTTAACCTTTAAAGGTGCATTGACTGAAGTGATATTAACAGTTCTCAGGTAAATGCTCTTTAAAGATAATATGAGCTGTGTCATGACAAAACCAACATAGTGCATTTGCGACCAGCATGGATCCAGACTAGCCTGCGCATCCGCGCAGTCTGATCAGCTGCTCACTTACCAAGCCTATAACAAGAAGAGAAACTAATGGCGAACAGCATGGATCCTGGTCAGAGTGCACAGATGCGTAGGCTGGTCTGGATCCATGCTGGTCGCAAACAAACTATGTTGGTTTTGTCATGACGCGGCACAATTATGATTTTTTACGGTTGATGGCTACAAAACTTTATCCATGGCAATCTTTTATTCAGGTGACCAAATTAACCCGTTTATTTCCATTATGATTAGGCCGGTAAATAACATCATTTCTCAAAGATTTATGTAAACAAATGAATTATTATCATGATTAACTTAAGGAGTTCAAAATACATTATTATGTACATAGTTTAAGTTTTCATACCAAGATATGTAAATGTATGATATATTGTATATATAATATATGTAAATTAATCCGTGTAAGTATACATTACAATGTATCTTTAAAAAGTAGATCAAGATATATAAGTTAATGTTCAATTAAGTATTATTATTTTGATATGTATCATTAATACTTCTTCAGGCAAATATTTTATCTTTGTTTGTTTATCTTTCCGCTGATTTTTTTTTATATATGAGCCGTGTCACGACAAAGCCAACATAATGGGTTTGCGACCAGCATGGATCCAGACCAGCCTGCGCATCCGCGCAGTCTGATCATGAACCATGTTGTTCACTTACAGACCCTATAACAAGTATAAAAAGTGATAGCGAACAGCATGGATCCTGATCAGACTGCGCGGATGCTGGTCTGGATCCATGCTGGTTGCAAACCCACTATGTTGGTTTTGTCATGACACGGCTCAATTATTATATTTATATCTTACAAAAATGAGGATCTGAATTTGAGTAATAAATCTATTGTTGGAACTGTCTGGGGTTTAATTAAAAGGTTTATGTTTTCTTTCAGTTCCCTTTAACAAACATAAATTATCTATTGTGTAAACATTAATAACTTTAGGAATAAAGACAACAACGACTTAGTAGGAGTGACCTATACCGAACAAAGCGTTTATTAAACGTACATGAACTCAAACACACAATAGTTTGCATCCACGAATGAGTCCATGAACTTAAACCGATAGGAAAATAACGCAAGTATCGCTAAATGCGATAACTGTTCTGCACTCCTTCACACTTGAAACAACAGGGAATTGTTTATCTGAAACAGATGAAGATATTGTAATACATGTATACAATCAACAAATAACAATATATGATTTATTATCTATAGAAGCTTAAAAGAACATTGATAATGAACAAATATTTAAATGGGTTGGGTGGTTGGGACTTAATTGATGTTAACTATTGTCCAGTATTTCGTCGAATTACCAAGCCATAAACCAAAATGCAGACTTATACAGCCAGTGCTTAATTACTGCATGACTCACTCACTATAACCATATTAGGTAAAAATCGGAAAACGTACGAATATTAAAGTGACATTTTGCCAATCCAAGGGTACAAATGAGTGAACAGGTGAAGTAAAAAAAAAGTTTTCATTTTGCCATAGTTCCTTTTAATATATAAAATTATTTCACATTAAAAAATAAACAATGCATGGATCCAAAATGATTTTTTCGTAAATAATCATTAGAATTTATCTGTAACGTTCAGTACATAAAAAGAGTGGGGCTTTCTTTTTTATATTTTAGGCAGATTTAAATTTTATCCAAGCATTTTCCAATATGAACTGTTGGTCAATCACCATTTCAACAGTCAATATTTTGATATATATATGTATATATTCAGTTCAGCTCAACTAGACTATGAAAATATGAGCATAAAGTCACATAAACGAACAAAAATAATTATATTCATTACATAAAAATATATTATAAACATAATTTAGCCTAGTCAGACAGAACATTTAACAAGATTGTACAGATTGACCAGGATTTTTAATTGTTATGAGTAGTGGAGGACAGCACTGTCCTCCACTACTGTTATGAAGGCCAATCACTGTCTGTTCCTGCAGGGTAAGGGTCAATAAAAATATAAAAAAAATAAAATATCAAAATTAAAATTAAGTAGCCAGCGCCGATTGTTAAAGAGTCCAGTTAGACATCAGGTATGAGTATGTCGCCCTAGCACATAAACATTTTGTTTCCGCCACTAGCGTTCATAAAGTTAAAGGTTTCTAGCGTTCATAAAGCTAAAGGTTTGAGTAAACCTAATTATATATAAGCTACTATGTTATGTACTATATTTTACTGGTGCCATTTTTGAAGCACTTTCCAACAATTATTGTTATTATTTTATTTATATTATTAGAATGATGTCGCTATTTATCATTTAATTGCATACAACTGTCAAACGACTCCCATCTTTTTATATTTTGAAATCTATGTAAAAATATGAATTCAATACGCCGGTGTAAATGTTTTGCTAAAAATGATAACAAAAACTTTATAAAATAGTTCGTATATTTTTATTTTAAAAAAATGCCAATTCGTAAAAATTCTATTTAAGGTAACCCGCCTGCAGGTGAAGATATTGAGGGACCATATCCGGTTGTTGCCGACCAGCCAGGTGGTGGTAAAGGTCTCGTGGTTCAAGCCTATACCATGGGAAAATATCTTGGATATCTTAATCTTACATTTGATCAAAATGGAGTGGTGACAAAATATACAGGAAACCCTATTTTATTGGATTCAAGTGTTCAGGAAGGTCAGTAGAAAGCATGCTGAATAGGCCTTTAATCATTAAGATATTCCATCTCATCAAAATTAGAAGAAATTCGACGTGTTTAGTTTCTTTCCGCATAATAGTATTGACCAAGCGTTGTATAGAACTTTGTATATGTTTGAGTTGCATGCATGTCTATGCACATGCCTTTATATGTTAGTTTGTATATTATGTATATAGCAGCGAAATCATTACCATGTCATTGTATGATAGTGTTTGATTACAAGCATTTAAAAATGCTGTTCATCCGAGTATTCGAATATTTTTTTTCGTGAAATGGACTCTCCTGAAAAATCGATCTTTCTTCTTTTATGGGAAACATACCATAAATTGTTTACTGCGTAGGAGCCTATACCTACACACTGGTTTCAAGCTTCGAACATGAAGAAAGTATTTCAATTCTATATATAGTTAACCCGAAAAAACTTGGAGTGGCGTGCCCCGTATGCGCCCCTTTTTGAGGTAATTTGTCGTCCATTTTGTTGTCATGTGGTTTTAAATTTTCCATATTGATTGGCTAAGCGCAGGTGGTGTTCGGGCTAGTTGCATATGTCGCCGTCCAGAAACGGCAGAAGGCGACAATCAAAATGTACTCTAATTTCGCAGAAGAACGTTCGTGGAAGCAAAATCTGCCCGTTAGTCATTGTGATATTTGTCCAAAACTAACTACAGTATTTGAAAAAAAATGAATACAAGTTCATTTATTCACCGTCTGATTCTAAATAATGACTTCTATGCACATCGTTGAATGAAATGCACATTTAATGCGTATAAATGTCATCATATAACAGTATGGTACAATATACATGTATTCTGATTTTTCAGATACTATGCTCTTATCCTATGTAAAAGAATGGAAGAAACCAGTCGATGCCCTAAGTAAAGAAATTATCGGCTATTCAAAGGTTGTCTTAGACGGTGACAGAGTACATTGTCGGTCAAAGGAATGTAATTTGGGTATATCTTTTATTGTTCTTTTATTGAATTGTTGTTAGAAAAAAGGCAAAACTTGATCAATTTACCAAATAATAAAAAATCGGTATGTTGAGCGTATTCGAGCATATATCTTGTGGATTTAATGTCTTCATTACATTACTAAAAGTGTGTAAAGCTAAATAAAAAAACTCTTAAAATGGCAGTATAACACTGTGTTCTGTTTTATTCTATTTACGTACACTATTCATGTGTGTCTAATAATAGAGACGTTCTATGTTACAACTCTTTTGACAATCAACCATATTGCCATGGATACAGCATAATACCAGTTTGCAAATTTTATATAAAAAAAATACAAAAATAAAAAGCATTATAATATAGCTTTATACCCTTTTGAATATACTACTTGTTGAAGTTATATGCTGGTTTTTTATTCAGGAAGTATACTACTATTGGTGTTTGAATATTCTAGTATCAGCTGCAAGACTGCCTTTATAAAAGATATAATTATTACTAAACTTAAGATATATTTCGGTTATTGGACCTGGGAAAACGTTTTAGCGCTCAGATACTATACCCAAGTTAGTTATGGGTGGTTAAAAACATATATAAGATCATGCTCAAGCAGGGTTTGCTTTTTAACCTTTAAACAAGACTACCCTGATCGAGCTTCAGCTCCATATTATATTTAATTTTGATGGCATGGCCTTAGTTTTGTATACTTTACATTTACATATTTTGTTGTTCAATAAGTTTTGATATTCTTGCCACGTTTGTCTTATATTTAATATTGAAGTAAACATATCTTCAGGTATATATCTTCATGTATCTTCATATTAAAACCAAAGCGCTGTTGTCATAATTTCCAAGTATTTATATAATTTTCATCATTTTTGTTTAGGTAATTTAATAACTGACGCCATAGTGGCGTATCATGTCAACTTCTCGCACCCAGCCTCTAATTGGGCACCAGCAGCTATAGCTGTGTGGAATGGTGGGGGTGTAAGAGCCTCGATTGACAAAGGTAAGGAATGTCTAGAAAAAATTTCAACCAAGATTTATCATATGAGCCGCGTCACGACAAAACCAACGTAATGCGTTTGCGACCAGCATGGATCCAGACCAGCCTGCGCATCCGCGCAGTCTGATAGGATCCATGCTTTTCGCTTACAAACCCTATAACAAGTAGAGAAACTGATAGCGAACAGCATGGATCCTGATCAGACTGCGCGGATGCGCAGGCTGGTCTGGATCCATGCTGGTCGCAAACCCAGTATGTTGGTTTTGTCGTGACGCGACTCATATAAAAAATGAAACACTTCATGAAATAATTTGATGAAACTAGCCATTAACTGACATGAACACTACAGCTACATTGCGATTGATACCAAAATTCAATTATGCCTTACACATGCTATTTCTTAAAACCTTTTTTTTTATTTTTGTTGTCCTTTCTAGTTTCCCAAGTGACTCATTGGCTAATTACATGAACAATCTTTTGCTTCTGTTGCCTTTTGGCAATTATCACAGCTAAAGTGATTTAGTAGTTTGTATGAAAGTCAAAATGCTTCTTCGTTTACATTTTGTTACTATTAATACAAAAAATTTCACACTTCAGGGGATAAGTTATTAACATACTCAGAAACCATTATTTAAATGTTATTAAACTCATTATTTACCCTTTGCAAAGAAACCCAAATTTATTCGTTTCTGAGGCATTATGTGCCTTTAAACAATTTTATGAGGTGGATCGTTGTAAAATCCAAACCACATAGGCACATACACATTTACTAATGGCTATATTACTATATATTGATTCAAACTCATTTAACCACAAACTACACTTTTCAAAGTAAGGTTAAACGTTTGAAATATGAGCCGTGTCATGACAAAACCAACATAATGCGTTTGCGACCAGCATGGATCCAGACCAGCCTGCGCATCCGCGCAGTCTGATCAGGATCCATGCTGTTCGCTATCAGTTTCGGTACTTGTAATATGGTTTATAAGCGAACAGCATGGATCCTGATCAGACTGCGCGGATGCGCAGGCTGGTCTGGATCCATGCTGGTCGCAAACGCATTATGTTGGTTTTGTCGTGACACGGCTCATATATCGGTTCATTCACAACCTGAATTATGATTGAAGATAAAACATAATTGAGAAGCTGCAAAGCGATTAAAATCATTTAATATAGAAATATCATTTTATAAATTATATATTTATTTGATATGTCGGAAGAAATATTCAATAATTTACGGATTTTCAGATGACATTTTTCGAATTTTATTTCAACAGATAAAAATAAAAGCTTTTATAAATTGTTTTATCAGGTAATATCTCTAATATATTAAGCAGTTATATAGAGTGTTATTTTAGAAGAAAAGATCAAAACTCATTTAAACGTGCTTTTTAAATACGAATACACATAAATGTAGTTATATAAATCGTTTTTTTTTTTCAGGAGTTATTTTTAGTAGTTTATTTCAGGAGAAGTACTCCATACTTCATATAAAAAAAATTTCCCAGGGAATTTTCAGTAGTAAATTTGACATGGTATTTCAGGAGAGGTGTCCGCTGGGGAAGCGATGGCGGTGATGCCGTTTGGTAACGAGTTAGATGTTGTTACGGTAAAAGGCAAGAATATTCGTGACCAGCTTGAAATATCCGTGAAAGACTGGAGTGCAAAGGGTGAAAGTGGCCGTTTTCTTCAAATGGCTGGTTTGGATTTATTCAAATTTGATTCTTTTATATCTGACAGTATTTTCATTATGCAGAAGTATACATGTACATTCCACCATCTCTTTAATGAAGCATTCATTTTAACAGATTTATAGATTTCTCTGTGGTTGAGTAATTAAAGTTGTTTTTCCAATCACTTTTCCCCAATTCTTGTGGTTCGAATCCCATCATGCACTTTTTAATTATTTCATGTACAGAAGCCATTCAGCGTACTTACGAAATGTTGGCGCTTCTACTCTAGTGTTCGTTTTTTCTTGGAGAGAAAAATGCACGAAATGGCTCTGCATATGTCAGATCTTTATCAACTAGTAAACATTTGGAGTCGTCATATCACCTATACAGTGTCTGTGTTTCTTATAGTTCATAGAAAGCAACATATTTACTCATTTTGTGTTCATAATTCAGGTCTTAAGGTGGTCTACAATACACGAAATCCAGTTGGAAGACGTGTAATATCGGTAGAAGCAAGGTGTTTGGAGTGTGAAGTACCGAGTTACTCCCCCTTACAGGACAATGCTGACTACAGACTATTTTTGTCTACATTCTTAATTGGTGGTGGAGACGGATACAACTTTCAACCGTTACACAGGGAACGTTTCAGTAAGTCTCAAGATTAATCGACGTATTTTCTAATATATGTCCGTTGTTTTACATATAAAATTCAAAGTTTCAGTAATAACGTTCTTGTTTCTCACTTAAACAATATAAAATGTTTTACTGAATTGGTATAATACTAGTTATTTTAAAGCATGTTAAGTTTTGGTTTTGTTACGGTTCATTATTTAGTTATTTAGTTAAAAGGTTGCCGAACGGAATTCTAAAAATTGATAAGTCACCAATCTATATATAAAATACATTAGTGTGCAAGCTGGTGTCTGGCTCTATACTGGTGGAACATGTCTGATAATATTTTAGCGATCAAAAGTGTAAAGATACATTACATGAATATATTATATTCCACGGGGGATTATTCTGTAATATCAATAAATATAGAAATGTTAAAGCACAATATTACAGGCAATGTTAACCATGTACCTGCTAAATTTGTGTGGTGAGTTTGTCCTGCTTTTTAAAACTTTAAACAGTCTACGTATTCACATTATGCCTCAGAAGTCCATATTTATTATAAGTAAAGTCTTTAGAAATGTCAAACATGCGTTTAATAATGTTTTAATAATAGATGGAGAGTATGTTAAATATTCAACAGCTGAAGAAAGTAGAGCTGAATGCGCATTAATTTGTCGTCAAGGTATCACAATGCAAAAAGTAATATTTTGACTTACATACAAAATACTTATTCTCTATAATTATACCAATTGCCAACAAAGTAAAAAGAGCATAGATAGTTCATCTATATATAGCGGAGAGGGGGTTGGAAACTGTACCAATATACAAAAATTTAAAGTTTTTTTTTTTTAAATAAAAATGATGGCATTTCTGAGGCATATTGAGATTTTAAGGAATTTCAATATAGAAAAAAAATCACTTGAGTTTAAAAACAGTGTAGATCCTAGCCAGACTGAACGGATGCTAGGGCAGGTCTAGCTCTATGTCGGTGAAAAGCAGGTTAAATGTTAATCATTAATTAAAAGCGTTTTCCCCAATTTTCCCCAGATACGTTAGACCTGACGACAGTGATACAGTATTTCAAGCAGCACAGTCCTGTTTTCCCGTCAACAGAAGGAAGGATTAGGTTTATCACGTCATCAGCTACAAGATTGTCTGTTGCTGTCTCAATGATCATTGTAGAAATATTATTATATAATATTGTATAGTATTATTTTATCTCAATATTTGTGTGTATATTGTATAGCTTTATTAATGTTTACTGTTACCATAGCTATAATAATTTACGGGTTATGAATAATCATTACATTTTTTTATTTTTCTGCCATATTGTATAAATAACAAATAAAAATTTATACTTAAAACTACTATTATATACTTTTTTCTATCATGTTTTTATGACATTTTTTCATTTCTTGCTACTGTAAATTTTACATAGTTTTATATATGTGTAGCCACAAAGTTACGTAATAAATGTCAAACTTGTCAATAAAGAATATAATTCAATATTAAACATTTATAATTATGTTCAAAACATTATTCAATAAATATAACTGTATATAATGTTTACCTCTGGTGATTGTAATTACTTCATTGTATATCATTATCAAACCATAGGTATCCGGCGCGTTGATTGATCACTATCCCCCCACCCCCATTCACCCATTCTACAATCCTACTATCTCTCAAAACCATGTAAATTGCAGTATTTTTCATTTGAAACATGTTCTTATATTTGGTATATGCTTTTAATTTCCCACAAAAAATAAAAATTGATACATACGATTAAGTAAAGGTATGCAAATGGTCGCTCATTTTTCATCACTCTTCCATAACTCCAACATTTGTACACCAATTTTCAAAATCTTGGTACCAAATGGTAAAGAATTTTAAAGGAAAAAAAAGCTGTCATTACGAAAATTTCAAGTTATAAGAAGATATGTTACCCTCGCAAGTGTAAGTCGACAGTGATCTGACCGCTGTTTTTTTTGTTGTTGTTGTTGTTGTCAAAATTACCCGACTAGGGAATTGATTACTCTTACTCTTTCAATTGGTATATGTTCATTTTTTTAAACGTTTCTACATTTCGTTATAATTGGAAATCTAATAACTTGTAGAAAAGATATGTTCATAAAATGTGTTGAAATTGTTATTATTCATTTTTCAAGATGCTCTAATAAAACTTTATCAATTTGATGTATTTAAAAATAGTAACATTGACAAATTACATATAATCGATAGCATTGTTTAAGAATAATCAGAAATTATATAACTGTTTTGTCAGCTCAATTAAGAAGAGATGTCAAGGCTGCTAGTCTGACAAAAAAGACTTACAGAAAACAAATTAAATTGCAATCAAAACTCTTAAGCCAGTCATAATAAAGATAAAAAATGCTAAATACATTTCCAAAAGACTGTCCTAAGACAATCTGATCAAAATCACACATTAGGATCTGACGGGCAACAATAGAAGGTCGCCTCGTGACCTTTCTAACAACCAATCATTTGCGAGCTTTCATAATTTTGAAAGCGATGCGGTTCTTAATTTTAACCACTGCAGAGCAATTGCCCTGAACATCTCACAATGTAGTGCATGCATGTGTTAAATGAGCAACAGGGGCCGGCTTCTGTATAATCCGAGTCTGATTATTCTGGGTTATTCTCATTTCTCGTTTCATATATTTATTAAATTCTATCTTAAAAACAACAAAATTTGTTAAATCTTTCCTGAACCTTTTCAATAAACATTGATCATTTTGTTCAGGTACTCATTATATTTGATGTGCTGTCCTGGAAACACCCCCAAGAAACGGCTTAATTAAGCAGAGTTTAGAAACATCCGCAGATGCATGTGTTCATTATTAAGCTCGCATATCACAGATAAGACGTAAAAAAATTAAAAATCCGTAACCATATCCTAATGAATATTCATGTAGGAATACTGGAACCACCCAAGTTGAAAAAGGCCAAATAGAAGGAAACTAAAAATACCACAAACATGTACAAAAAAAATTGATGTCGTGCTGAACAATCTTCATAGATCGAAATAACATGTTAACCCTTTCCCTCATATATACACGAAACAACGCACTTTCGACCCCCCCCCCCCTTTTAGGCCTCAAATAGTGAAAAAAAGGTCCTATTTGGGCCCAAAACACATGTTTTTGTTTGAGAAATGTTGCTAAAAAAAGTGAGCACTTTTTCGGCACCGCCCCCATCCAAAAGATACATCAGGGGGTTGCCAGAAGGGGGATGTGCCCTTCTGTTTGGGGGCGGTAGTCCCCCTCATCGCCAAGAAAATTTTGGACTTGTGAGAGGCTAAAAATGACCCCAGGTCGATCATAAGGTAACGTGTAACCAACGCTGAAAAGCTTTTGACTCTATCTAAATTCCTTGAGAAGTGGCAGCACTTTGAAATAAATTTTGATGGTAAAAATCAAGGCAAAATATTGATTTTTGGCAATTTTGAGACGTCCCCTCGTTGCCATGGTAACAAGAAATTAAAGACTGAGCATGTCGTTACAAAGGCAATGGTCCAGTCAACATTTGTGCCAAGTTTGATTAGTATTGAAGCATTTTTCATAGTTTCATAGCAGTTTGAACTTGTAACAGGAGGCTTTTCAATGAAAACGGCCATTTTTCACAATCTGCTCATGAGGGAAAGGGTTAAGTGACAGTCTTTATTATTGCCTGATACCTTATATAAATGTAATTTGGTATTTTTTACTGTTTTCTGAAATTCTAAAAACGTCAACGTTCGCGAACTGTTGACCGGTCAATAGTTTCGACTGTTTCCCTCGCGTGCTCTGACGTCATTGACGTCATAGAGAATTCCCAATTGAAGCGTCAATCGATCATGATCATAAACCAGACGTGACGTGACATAGTTAAAGTATTAAGTTTAATTATCAACATATGTGCAAAACTTTTTTCTTGTTCCTTTTTTCTTCTGCAAGTACTGTTAAAACAGTATTTGATCAGGTAATAAAACAGTTATTTCATATGTGATTTAATGGGAACAGTCAAACAGTTGTCCCTCGGTGTCGGGGATAGTGTTTTGAACTGTTGCCCAAGGCCGTACAAAATACTACCCCCTCCACCTCGGGCCAACAGTTTGACTGTTCCTAAATCGCATATGAAATAACTGTATACTGTTGTTTTTTTTAATAATTCTGGCAGTTCTCAACAGCAGAAGAAGGCACAGGGGCAAACCACGAACGGAATGTTATAATAAACAATTTAAAATATGAAATAATAGAAACCGAAAAGGAAATTAAAGAAGAATTTTTTTTAAAAAGCCAACAAAAGGATAATGATGTAGAGGAAGGGATCAGACGCCCGGCGGGGAAATGACAGGGGTCAAAATTTGAAGAAAAAACTGAGGACAGGGGAAAATACTTACTGTAGACGACAAAACAAGAAAGGACACAAAAAATGCCAAAACAATTACCATGTAGAAATAACAAAATATGTACATCTGAGGAACATAGAAACAGTATCGGACATATAAGAATGACTCTTTTCGGTACGCCTAATATAACAGACATGCTTTCAGCTTTATTATTGTTTACTCTCTATAAGAGAGAAACGACTGGAAAAAAGTGTACAGATTTTTTCAGTCAAAATGATAAAGTTTTAGTTTATGAATATTTTGTGGTCAACTTAATCAAAGGCTTTTTTAAATCAAGAATTAAAGTACCTCTTATTTTTCCATTATCATTAATCGATATAATTTCAATATATTTTATATTTCGGTTTATCCGGGAATATTCCTGAAAAAAAAAAGATTATTAATTAATGATGTTATTGCTCTCGTTATAAAGTCATTACATTACTTCCATCAAGGTCATTAATATATCTACTTACGTCAAATGTAGTCATTAGACCAATGTCGAATTGCTTATGTTTTTAAGTCTTTGAGCCAAAAAGACTTTTAATTAATTGAAATTGCTAACATCGTACTCAGACTTATTAATTAATTTTAAAAATATCTTAAAGTGTTTATAGCTTGACATTCATTTCTCCATAACTAATAATTAAGACAGTAGTTATGATCTTTATAGAGATATCTTTTATTAGGGCCTCCGGTATATGGTCCGTTTTATTTTGTTCTTTTATCTGCTTTATTTTTTAATGTAGCGTGTTTGTTTCATACAGATTTAAACATATCATATATAGAACATCAAGTGAGTTATTTTGTTTTGTACGTTGTAGTTTCAATTATATTAAAGTTTCATTCATATAATGTTTAAATAATTGTTTTATGGAACGATAATTTATCATTTGATATGAAGATGCATTTACCTCTCTTTTTCACAAACACATTATTCCACCACCTCCTTCTACGTCCTTGTCTTATTTCAAAGGTATAACTTTCAATTTATCAATTTTTATCTTCCCTTTAATATAATTAAAAATTCTCAAAATCAGTTTATATCTCACAATCAAATAAGTCTTAACTCTTTGTATTTGGCTGAATCCGGTGTTAGGGGCGTGGATAGTAACTTTCAATTTCCAGTACTGTATGTACGTCCATGAACAGGCTCAACAGCAAGCCTGCAACATTTTCAATTTTGTCTTTTTGGACGCTCTTTATGAACTTTTTGCAAACTCATCAGCTCCTTCTGTTGTAAATGTTACCAAATGCAACGGTGTAAATGTGTTGATATTCATCTTTCATGTGTTTAATCTATATATAATCATGTCGTTGACTTCATCAAAATGCTTGAAAAGCCTCCTAGCTTTGTTGCGTACCCGTGTTATTCATTTATTTATTCATTTATTTTTATTTAAGTCACAAACAATCCAAAGACATTATCAAACAATGAAAGATGTTTAGGTTTTTACAATTTCACATTTATTCTGTTTAGTTCATAACAATTATTATGTATAATCAAGACCGAGGTTTTTGGAGACCGGTGACCGTCAAGGACCGGAGACCGTCGAAGACCGGAGACCGTTAATTGGTAGGTTCAACATTTCCGGTTTGGAAACAACAACAACAAACGTGCATTGAAAAATTAAAATATGCTGTAATGTCTTATCTTTATCGTTTAAATCGAAATAAATGTGTTTTTCAAATGAAGAATTAATGAAAAGTGCAAATATAACCACAGACTTATACTCCCCTTTGTCATCAGTTACAGCCATGCAGAAAGATCTTGGCTGGCGTTCTCTCGAGCATCGCAGACTAGACTTTAGACTTATTATGTTTTTTAAAATTTACCATAACCTAGTAGCCATTAGCCTTCCCACCTACATTAAAACTCCATCTAGGCTTACTAGACATATGCATCCCCTCTCTCTTAGGAAAATACAGGTTACATCAGACTACCATAAGTTCTCCTTCTTCCGGCTTCCCCCACTGTATCACACTTTGGAACCAGCTCCCAAGGAACATTGTCACCCTGCCTGATCTAGATCAATACAAACAGGCAGTGGTTAAGATACAGTATTAGTTGACTTGTTGTGTTTTTACTTTTAAATCTTTCTTTCACCCTTACTAACAAAAATATTTTAACAATGACTAGAAGTTTTCAATGTCTCTCACTGTCCTGATTATGTTCATTTTCAGGTTTTTACTTTCTCTCACACCTTTTACTAACACACCGACGCGCACAATTTCCTGCCTATAACACTCGCGAGAGGGGTTGGCAGTATTCAGAGATAGATAGATAGATAGGTGCTCGTCCAGTCTTGGTGCCCATATAAAAAATAATGAAAACAAAAAACTATTTATGGGTTGAGTCAAAGAAAAAAAAGATTTTTTTCCCCTTTATACCATTAGAGCAATAACACCTTAATCCGACATACCCGTTATTCCGACACTTTTTTATACAAAGGTAATAAAAATCATTTAATTCAACATTTAATTGATATTTTGATTGACAAATATGTGACGTATTCTATTTGTTGACGTCATGAACATTTTTGAACCACACAGTCGCCATTTTGTTGGCATTGATCAGTCAGGGAGTTCCGATCCCAAATTTTGAAAACTATATAATTCGCTTCTTATCGAAACGTGTAAGAGGCCGAACTAAGTAAAGGTTAGTTGGCTACTTCTATTTTGTCGAATTGTGCTATTGTAAACTCTATAAACACCTTTTAAAAGTTGTTTTATACACTGGACTCTCTGCAGCGTGTTTATATTTAAATTTTCCAGCCATGGCGAGAGTGTCGAAGTTAGGAACGGAATTTTAAGGCGGCTCGTTATTTCGACACGTCTTTAATTTAAACTGATAAATGCTGTACAACTTAAATTTAATTGATCAACTGCAGATTTATTTTGTCTGTGAGCGAATTTTAGTAAACATAAGAGTCCTAAATGCTTGTCCATATAAATTGTTCTAAAGAAATTGTAGATATCTTGCTTGTAAATTTTCTTAACAGTACTTAAAATGAGTACATATGTTTAATTAGTAATATGTAGATATAATGAGTCATGTACATTTATTGATGTAAATAGTGATGTATATCTGTTTCCAAATATTTTATTTAAAGTAAAAAACACACACATGAAAATGATAAAGCATGGGTTTTTCCATGTATTTAAATATCGACCTTATTTTATATTACAGTTACAACGATGTCAAAGCAAGTAGCAGCAAATAAATACCGCAGATATTCGCCTTCGAAGTTGGTCACTGCTATATCTATGGTGCAAAGCGGAGCTATGTCGAAGAAAAAGGCGGCGATGACATTTGGAATACCAAGAACAACACTGATTGATAAGCTTAGTGGAAAAGCACCAATGGGTTCGAATCCTGGTAAGCAGTGTGTACTGACAGTGGCAGAAGAACGTGTTCTTGTTGATTACATCAAGCTTATGTCATCTATAGGTTATCCACTAAAGCGTCAAGAACTATGTTATGAAGTAAAAAAGGTTTTAGATCACGATGGGCGGAAAACACCTTTTAAGGACAATCTACCTGGAAAACATTGGTATCAATTATTTTCAAAACGTCACCCTGAGCTTTGTGAAAGAACTGCTATGGCTTTAGGTCACCAGCGATCTTTGATTAATTTTGAAATGGTTGAAGGGTGGTTTAGTGGTTTAACCTCTTATCTAAAGCAAGAGGTTTCTGACTGGAAAGCCCTTATTAACGACCCAAGAAGAATGTTCAATGCCGATGAAAGCGGATTTCCGTTATCTGTAACAAATGGTAAAGTCTTAACGGAAAAGGGTGTTCGGCATGTTTACCAAGTTTGCACAAGCAATAAAACGCAAATCACAGTGCTTGTGTGCTTCAACGCTTATGGAAATTATGTATCGCCTCTAATAGTCTATCCGGGAGATCGATTCCGTGACTCTGGAATACACGAATTTGACGAAGCTATATACGGACATACGAGTAGCGGTTGGATGGACTCAGAATTGTTTGTGGAATTCCTCAAACACTTGAATGAATTTGTTATTAACAGAAACATTCCAAAGCCCATCATGCTTCTGGTGGATGGACACTCAACGCACATGTCTTTCGATGCTGCACATTACTGCTTTTCTAATGGCATCATATTGTATTGCCTCCTTGCAAACGCAACGCATGTACTCCAACCTTGCGATGTGGGCTTCTTTTCGCCTATGAAAGCCGCATGGAAAAAGGAAGTTAAAACATGGCAGCTTGAAAATCTTGGCCAGGCACTTACGAAAAAGCACTTCCCTGGGGTTTTCAAGAAAGCGTGGCTGAAAGTAGCTAAGATTGAAAACGCGATTCACGGGTTTCAAAAATGTGGACTGTTTCCTTTGAATCCAAATAATATTGATTTAACGAAATTGAACCCGTCCAAGGCAATTTCTCACACTATAACATCTGAAAGTGGTGAGCAAATCGGTGATGACAAAGATGTCGCTGTCAAAGTTACCGGAGATGCTGAAGTTGATTCAGTTCAGCTGAACAACACAAGTGAAATGAGTACATCTAGCAATATGATAACCTCGCTTGATGTAACAACAGATGACATGAATACATGTATCTCAACAGATAATATGAATACCAGCAGTCAGATAAGCACAGACGCTGATGAGAAAATCAACCATCTCCAAGGTATTCACAAACCAACGGCAAATATTACCGATATTACCGATATCAGTAGTGGGAATCAAGCACCAGGTCCGTCATATGTCAAACAATCTAGAGACACGGTGTCAGAATCATTTTCTTTGCTTGCTGTACCAGAAGTTAAGAAGAAGCGATCAGCTAACACTCTACGGAAAAGGCTACCTAAAGCATTATCGGGCAAAGAAGCGCTAAGAATGCTGCAAGAAAAAGAAAATGCTAAAAAGGCTGATGAATTGGCTAAACAGAAACGTAAAGAAGAGAGAGAAGCAAAAAAGGCAAAGAAACTTGAAGAAAAAGAACTCAAACGAATCCAACGAGAAGAAAACAAAAAGAAAAGAGTGCAGTCACGATTAGTTAAACATAATCAATCACATAACAAGAAGCGGTCCAAGACCAATGAATCTGAATCTTCTGAGTCATCTGAAGACGACTTTGAAAATCCACTGATTATGGATTCAGATGATGACTGCAACGAAGAGCTAATCTGCCCTGGATGTCAATCCGATGAAGGGAGCAGCGAGGAATGGATCCGTTGTACTGCTTGTTCCCGTCGTTGGCATATCACGTGCACTGGTGACGCCGTATTGTTTGAAATCCCGACTTCACAGATTAACAATTATCCGTTTCACTGTGAATTCTGTGTATAGAATATATTAAAGTATGCACATTTAAAACAGAAAAAACAGCTAGCATTGCTCGACTGGTCAAACAAATAAGTTTAATAGTTCGTTCACATGATGTTAGGGCCGTTAAATTTTAATAAAAGAGTTGGAATTCATTATGTTTATGTTTTTTTTAAAACACAATATGGGTGTCGAATTTAGGGTCACCGTGTCGGAATAACGGACTCAGAAGGAATTAGATTAGTAATGTGTTACATCACATACTTTAGGTTTATTTAAGAAGTTGTATTTACAAAAAGAACCTAAAATGAAGGACACTTTACATTGCGGTGTCGAAATAAGGATATGTATAAAATTATACAATTATCACGAATTTTTATCTTAAGGTGTCGAAATATGGATACTTTACTCTACTACGAAAAGGTCACCTAGTCACCTTAACGCTATGAAGCTTTACTAGGACACGCTGTGGAACAACCACAATGTCCAGTTCTGTAACAATACAAGCTATTTTAAAACTCTTTATACATCATGCATTTAGAAAATTGTTAACATAAATTTGTCATTCTACCTTACATACAATCTTAAATAACCTACATTTAACTTGGACACTCCAACTTGTTAAAATTTTGCAAAACAACAGTGAGTATCGGCCACTTTGTCGAAAACGAAAGTACAAAACATACATCATATTGTTCCGCTGTCCTGGTCCCCTACGACTACCTTGCTGAACAATAGGGGTGTAACAATACAGCAAAAACCGTATTGCAATGTATTGCCATTTTGCTGAAGCGTATTGCAATATATTGCAATACGTATTGTCTTGTATATGTTTTGATGTAAAGATGGAGTAACATTTATATATTATTATCATATGTATATATTTTTAGTAGAAACTTAATAAAAATGTAAGGAATAAATATGAAAGTAAAGTGTCACACAATTTGATAAACAAAACTAGTCGCGTGTGACCTTTCACATCTGGGCCGCTTATGTAAATTATGCGGCGCGCTTATTGACTTTTAAGTGTACTAGTTGTCGATACTTTTTATCTTACGTTTGGCGCCAACAAAATTGGCCAATTAAAGATTTTATGTGAAATTTGTACAAAATTAGAAGGCAATTAATTGAAAATTATGATTTTTATAAAATACCGGTTTTCCAAAAATCGTACCGCGGTACGAAATTTATTTTTTCATATTGCAATATATCGGTATACTGGTAAACCGTTACACCCTTACTGAACAATAGACAACAGTAACCAATAAATTGATGGTTACCGTTGTCTACCATTCTGCGAACGTAGTCGTAGGAAACCAGGAGAGCAGAACAGTACCATATAGGTTTTGTACATTTGTTTTCGACAAAATGGCCGACCATCAACGGAATTTTGAAAGATTTTAACAAATTGGAGTGTCCAAGTTAAACCCTTTCCCTCATGAGCATATTGTGAAAAATGGCCGTTTTCATTGAAAAGCCTCCTGTTACAAGTTCAAACTGCTATGAAACTATTAAAAATGCTTCAATACTAATCAAACTTGGCACAAATGTTGACTGGACCATTGCCTTTGTACAACAATGCTCAGTCTTAAATTTCCTGTTACCATGGCAACGAGGGGACATCGTAAAATTGCCAAAAATCACTATTTTGCCTTGATTTTTTCCATCAAAAATTTATTTCAAAGTGCTGCAACTTCTCAAGGGATTGAGATAGAGTCAAAAGCTTTTCAGCGTTGGTAACACTTTACGTTATGATCGACCTGGAGTCATTTTTAGCCTCTCACAAGTCCAAAATTTTCTTGGCGATGAGGGGGACTACTGCCCCCCTTCAAACCCCCCCCAAACAGAAGGGGGCACATCCCCCTTCTGGCAACCCCCTGATGTATCTTTTGGTCATAATTGTATGTCACTGACCAAGTTCCATAACTCTATCTTGCATTTAGGCTAATTTATCTCCCTTTTCTTCTTAGTCTCTTGGTTAATGTTTACATGCAAGTTTTACATATCTCAATAACTATTAAAGATATTTATTTAAAACTTCACATATGCATTTAGGTTTATAATTGTAGGTCACTGACAAAGATCCATAATTATCCCCCGCCGATGGAATCGGGAGGGGGATATAGTTTTGGCGTTGTCCGTCCTTCCGTCCGTCCGCACTCACAGGAGAGTAATTATGTGGCTAGAGGGACAATAGGTAACTGTTCTTTCTCTTTGATGTCATTCATTCCGTAATGTTTTTATGTGGCTATTTTCTTTTGTGTGGCTAAAAAGAACAATAGAGAGAACAATAGAGTAGCCACATAATTACTCTCCTGTTAGAACGTCCGTCCATCCGTCCGTCCGAATTTCATTTCCGGAGTAGTGAGCAACTAATGGCTGGAATTCAACGAAACTTTATGGGAATGTTGATCAGCATGTGAAGTTGTGCACCTGGGTATTTTCGTCTGGATATTTTTAGTATTTTTAGAGTTATTGCCCTTGACTTAGAATTTCGTTTCCGGAGTAGTTCTCTGCAACTAATGGCTGGAATTCAACGAAACTTTATGGGAATGTTGATCAGCATGTGAAGTTGTGCACCTGGGTATTATCGTCTGGATATTTTTAGTATTTTTAGAGTTATTGCCCTTGACTTAGTAAAATTTTGTAATTTTCAACTTGTGTCGCATGTAACTCAAAAAGTATTTGACCTAGAGTCATGAAACTTTACAGGAATGTTGATCAGTATGTGTAGTTGTGCACCTGGGTATTTTCGTCTGGATATTTTTAGTATTTTTAGAGTTATTGCCCTTGACTTAGTAAAATTTTGTAATTTTCAACTTGTGTCGCATGTAACTCAAAAAGTATTTGACCTAGAGTCATGAAACTTTACAGGAATGTTGATCAGTATGTGTAGTTGTGCACCTGGGTATTTTCGTCTGGATATTTTTAGTATTTTTAGAGTTATTGCCCTTGACTTAGTAAAATTTTGCAATTTTCAACTTGTGTCGCATGTAACTCAAAAAGTATTTGACCTAGAGTCAGGATACTTTACAGGAATGTTGATCAGCATGTGTAGTTGTGCACCTTGGTATTTTCGTCTGGATTTATTTAGTATTTTTAGAGTTATTGCCCTTGAATTACAGTAGTATAAATTTGCAATTTTCAACTTGGGGTTTGCTTGGGGATTTATTCAGTATTTGTAAAGTTCTTGCCCTTTACTTAGTAAAAAGATTTTTAGTTTTCAAAAAATATTTGACCTAGAGTCATAAGATTGACAGAACAGTGGCGCGGTGGGGGCACCCGTGTCCTATGGACACATTTCTAGTTTTTATTAAAGAAGAATTAAAATGATTTGTTACAATAACATTTAAAAATATTTGAAAATTGTGAGATCCCTTCTTGATGCCTTGAAAATGGCAATGAAGTCTGGAGATTAAGATGTTTTTACATCTAGGTGAGCTATTGTGATCCCCCACCGTCCGTCGTCGTGCGTCGTCAGCAATTTCTTTAAACAACATCTCCCCAGAAACAAATGACTGCATAGCAACCAAACTTTACAGGAATGATCCTAGGGTGGTCCCCTGCCAAAGTTGATCAAATGGTTCCGGTCTGTTGCATAAGTAGGTCACAGGGCCAGAAAAGGAGTTTCAAAAATGCAAAATTAAAAAATCTTGTCTGAAAGTACAAGGCCTAGAGCTTTGATATTTGGTATATGATATAACCTATAGGTCCTCTACCAAAATTGTTCAAATTTTAGCCCTGGGGTCAAAATTGGCCCCACTCCAGGAGGTCATAGATTTTCCTTATATGTATATAGTGAAAACTTAAAAATTCTTCTTGTTTGAAGGTACAAGGCTTCAAGTTCAAAGAATATTACAGTTTATGCCATGAATAATATATAAATAAAGCCTTAATATGTCTTCAGTTGTTGTGTTAATAATAACCAGTACTCGGCGGGGGATATAAATTCAACGAATTTGCTTGTTCTATCTTGCATTTAGGCTGATTTTTTCTCCCTATTTTCAACTTAGAAATTCATGGTAAAGTTTTGCTTGTAAGCTGTTATCTCCATAACTACTGAAGGGTTTGTGCCTTTTTTGGGACAATTTTATGCATTCATAATAATAAAGCAGTGATTTACTTAATAAAACATCTTAATAACAAGCCTTTGTACCTTTTCCGTCAATTTTATGTATTCATAGGTAATTAGCATTATTATACTCAATAAAACACCCTTGTGACAACTTTTTTTAATAGTCGAGCGTTACTGTCCTCCGACAGTTCATGTTACCAGTTCTAAGCCAGCTTTGCTTTTAACTTTTATCTCAGTCTTGTAGTTCTTTTTAACTTGTTTTTACCTTATGTCTATAAATTTGCACTTAACATATTTGTTTTTAACAGCTATACCAAGACAACGCGCCTGCTTAGTGTAATTGATAATGATTTTGAAGCAGTATAATGTAGATGTAGACCACACAGTGCTTATAAATAAATTTTATCCTACTTATATACTCAATCACTGCCAATTCTAAGCAAGAATGCGATTGTACTTGATATTGCTATTTGACTCTAACACATTTAAGTGACATAACATGCAGTTCCATTGGGACATAATTATGTGCCACAGTAATTTGCTGATGTAAATATTGAAATTATCTGAGCACAATTTACACACCATCTGCTACTCTTCTTTATCATCAATTTAATTTTTGACGGTTTTCTCTCTGGATCAGTCTTACCCTATTTGGCAGAAGGTGATACACATGATGTCATATTGACTTTATACTTTACATGTTTAAATTAATGTCCAGCAGTAAATGGCTCAATTTATGTGTCTTGTGTGCATCTAAATAAAGTTGACGCTATCTGTGTTCTTTGAGTAGCAATTACACAGATACAGATTAACGGTCTGTCATATCATTTAAACTGGATCAGTTAAACAGCTGTTTGAAATGTGATGAAAGAATGCTTAAGTCATAATTCATTTGTTTAAGTATGTCAGTAATTTTCATAATTTATATTTTTCAGATTCATCATTTAATAATAGTTATCAAAGATGGCCTTCTCGTTGACATCAGATATGAATTTGCTGAAGAATATGCCTGCCTATAAACCATTACTGAAAACAGTATTGAAATCACAGATTCAACTGCTGGTATGCAAGTTTATTGTTGTTGTTCTTATTTATTTAATATAGACATAGCCATAGAATTCTTTGTTATTTAGAAAAAAAGTTATCATATTGGTTACAATTTTAACTCAAATCTATGTTCTTTGTACAAATCTGTCATTTAAGACTGACTCCCATTACTATAAATGACACTATTATTTATTAAGTATTAGATGAATTGAGTAGCGGCGTGTCCAAGTGGTCAACATGTCAACTAGTAATCTTAAGGATTGCTGGACACGTGGGTTCAGACCCCATAAAGGGGAAGCCATTGTTTCAGTGAGCAAGAAACATTTCACTCATTGCTTCTTACTTGTTGGTTTCCATATGTTGTTTCATAAAGCTTATAGCTTCCAAAACAATCATGCCAAAATAAATTAGTATAAACTAATTACTAGTAGATGAATTGTGGTTCATTTCATGAATCTTCAGCCTCAGGTTTCAAATCTTTGTTCAGATCAGATGCACAGACCTATTACATTACAGGTTGAGCAGCTATCAGAATATGGGGATGAAGAGTGTATGTTCCTGACTGCCAGCTTGACGGATGGTACCTTATCATACATTGGTTCAAAATATGGACACTCATTTTTAACCAAATATAAAAATATCAAAGGAAACTTCTTGAAGTTTTGTCTAGAAAGTAAGTTTTTTTACAACCCCTAAATGTTTGTTTATTCTTCCTTCTTACCTTCCATTTAAAGCTTCCAGATGAACCAAAATATACTGTATTTCAAGAAAATCTTTGAGAAAAAAATGTACAAAGAGAAAGATTCCAGTGAAAATTTAAATGTTATGTGCGATCAATGACTGGTTTTTGCAGCATTTATCACCATGTTTCTACTGCATGACTAACACAGTAAGGTCTATTTTTGCATATTTTGACCTTTATTAGGATGGTAAGTGCATTTTGCAATATGTTAACTTTTTTTTTGTTCATTTCACAATATTTTACTAAAGTATGTTTTCAAAATTTTCATGAAAATTTGCATGAACCTGGAGATGTGCTGCTTTAATGAATAGCCTTTCTTCTCATTGTGCCTTCATTTATTGACCAATATCTGAGTATTTAACTTGCTAAATTTGCGTAGTGGTTTTGCCCTGCTTTGAATTCAAAACAGTCAATTTGACATAGCAACATGTCAGAATAATTATTAAATTACTGAAGTTATTCAAAGTAATTTTTCCATTTTAGAAAACAATGATTCAAATTTCTATATATGTTATGATTTAAATTCATTGCACTGAAGTTCTTACAAAGAAGTAATTGTATTGCCAACATACCTGCCTGTATGCATTGTATGTTTGCATGATAAACAATAATTAGAAATCAAATATTTATCTTGAATACTTTCCATTTTAGAAAACAATGACTCAAATCATGTTCAACATTTGACAACTGTTCAGTCACCTGGACCACCCAAAGAACAAAGAAAATTGAACAAAAGACAGCACATCATAAAACAGCCTGAGCCCAAACGATTCAAACTGGAGTCTCATGATACAGACGTATCGGCAAATGAATTAATTGCAGATATTACTGTAGATACTTCTCCTAAACAATCAAAAGACAATATTGATACTAGTACAAGTAGGCAAAGTGAACAAAGTGAAAAGAATAAGGAGAAAATGAAACACCAACAAGAAACAAAGATTGTTAAATATAGTCATGAAATAAATGGTTACGAAATAGGTTTAAAGGGATCAAAAGAAAATGATGAGATTCAAAACTGTGATAATTTTGATGACACAAATAACATGAACAGTTTTATTGTCAAAGTAGAACCTGACTGGGAAGCAAATTGTGAAGATGTTACAATAAACATGGAGGATAAATTTAACACGGAGAGTTCAGCTAGAGGTACAACAAACACGGAGAATAGATATAACAGGGAGAGTTCAGTTTCCTCTGAGAATAGTTTAAGCTGTACGGACATTTCTTCATCATATCAAAATTCTAGGTCAGGATTAAAAGAAGGTAAATAGACTTGTACTTAACTTTTTTTTTCTTCTTTTCTACTTACTACAAATATCATGCATACTTTAAAAAGAATGTCTAAACAATTTTGGATATATGACAATGCTAATATGACTGAGGTATTATGAAGTCTCATTTACAGCTCTTATTATAAGTGTTGGAGAAGAACTTTATTAGGTTTAAAAACTTATATTCTAAAACATATATGTATATCATGTAACGGTACTGTGCATAGTTTCGAATGACTGTTTAAAACAAGTTATCATTTTAACAGTTGTCTTTCACAGTAAGGCAACCATGTTCGTAAACCTCAATTCTTAAGATTTTGCATACCTAAATAAACATATTTTCCGCACCCTAAACTCATGTAATAAAATTATCATATACATGTATATATGCAGTGTTGCATCTAGCGCGATTTAAGTAAGTTTTAATCAGCCCTGGTTATTTACATTCACTTATATACAGTTAAGTCTGCAAAATAAATATAACTAATAGATGAAGTGCTCGTTTTTCACGGGACACTGTCTTACCAAAAGGTAACGGCAGTGAATAAAGTTATAAAAATTTTAATGGATTTATCTTTTTTGTGATTCTTATTTTATCCTTAGTTTGTACAAATACATGTTGACAGCACTCTAGTTTGAATTTGTTTGGTTATTAATCTTTTACTTGTTGCTTTATTTTTAGCTTTTCTGCGGCCAGAATTTCTATGCTGTAATGATAGGCTGATCTGGGAGAAAAACAAACTACCGAAGCAAAAGCGCGTCATTAAATCGGTTCCACTTTGGAAGAAGTACAGTGCAATAAAAGAAGTAGAACTTAAAAAAGAAAACAAAAGTTATGATTGCTCAAGAGTTTAATGTAGCCTCAAAGCACATTATCAACATGGTTGAAACATTCTGAACAAATTAAGGCTGATGTTGGAAAAAGAAATAATAGATCCGAGAAAAAAGAAACGGCGATTTTTCTAATTTTCATGACATCGAGACTGCTTTACTCGAGTGGCTTAAAATCGTTCATCTTCAGGCAGTAAAATTCCAAAAATAACTAGTGTCAATATCTGTGACAAAGCAAAACAGCTTGCCCAGCAGTTTGGGTACACTACAGAGACGTTTAAATGCTCCAAAGGTTGGGTTGAGAGGTTCAAAGCAAGACATGGCTTTGATAAAAACTTTGTCAAAAGGAGACAATTGTAATGGAGAGTAATGGAATATAGGATTTGAAAGATTAAAAATAATTATCCTCATGTGCATCAGTTTGTGACATAGTGAATGATAATTAGAATGTCTTAATTATATCTTTAAATTGGCCTCAAGATATTTGTATCTTCCCATTTATGTAATAGAAATTAAATAAACAACTATGGTTACATACATGTACATGTAATTTAATGCCAAAGGAAAATTTTTATTGTCAAGATACAATTGCTGGCAGCTATTTTATACATTTCTTTCAAAGACATCTTTGTAAGTTTATTAATATTTTTATATAGTTATTTATAAGGAACTCAGTTTTACATTTTTATCCTTACTTTTGTTCAGCAAGGATGGACTACTTGTGGACAGTATAATGTACAAACAAGGTGACAGGTTGAAACCTTTGAGAGGGTCATGTGAAAGATAATTTGATAAAATATGCTTTGTAACTCTTTGAGTGGTTCTTTACATTAAAAAGGCATTTCTTAAACTCTGGTCTCATGTCTGTCTTTATGAGGTTCATTAGGGTATTAAATTGTCAATGTGTTAATAGGATATTTTTTTTTATATAGCATCATGATGAATATGTATATTTGGCTTTTAAAAGACATTGCCATAAGTAATACTGAAGGATTGTTTAGTTAGATCGTACATTTAAACACTTAACAAAGGAATAAATATTTTATAATGTTAACCAGTCACCACTGTTGACATAGAAATTTTGTGTATATTTGAGGTACTGGACCCCTGTCTACTCTTATCAGAGTTAAGCATTATATACTAATATGCTGTTCAGTCATGTCGGTTTAATGTTCATTCCATCTATACAATCAAAATTACTTAAAAATAATATATGTAATAATGTTAAGATTTTATATTTTGTGTATGTTTTTTTAAAGCTTGACTATTAGAAGAATAGGGAGAGCTATTAATTGTTCTCATGTCTGCGGGTAGTTGTCATACTTTGGTTAAGCTTTTGTGTGCAAGTTCGAATCTCCAAAACAACTGAAGGGAATGGGTTGAAATTTCACACACTCATTCTCTGTGATTATTAAACATGATGGGCACAGATTCTATAACTCTTAGTTACCTTTTAAGCTCACCTGAGCTAGCTCAGGGTGAACTTTTAGGATCGATGAATGTCGGTCATCCGTTCACATTTGTTTGTTAACACTTTAGAGGTCACAGTTTTGCCTCATTCATCGTCAAACTTTGTCAGGATGCTTGTCTAGGTAATTGCTCGGATGGGTTTTAACATGGGTCATCTCGGATGAAAAACTAGGTCATAGAAAAATCTTGTTAACACTCTAGTGGCTACTGTATTGATCCAAATATCCTAGAAATTGGTCTGAAAGTTTGTTTTGATGATTTCTAGGTCAAGTTCGAATATGGGTCACCTGGGGTCAGAAACTAGGTTACAATACCCAGATATGAAAAAAACCTTGTTAGCACTCTTGTGGTCACATTTTTGACTCAATTGTCATAAAACTTGGTCAGGATGCGTGTCTAACTTCAAGTAAGGGACTGCTGAGTTTGATGGGTCAGGACTGGTGAGCAATCTAGGGCCATCTTGGCCTTCTTATTTACAGAGTTATGCCCCTTTTTTACGGTTGAGTTCTGAGAATAGTCAATTACCTTCTCACCTCTTGTTTTCAGATGCGCCCATCCTGCCTTAGTGACTATCTGTTTTAATAACACCCTGTCTACCCATCAACTTTACTTATAGCAGAAAATTAAATACTCATATATAAAAAATCCATTGTCCATGAGTTTCAAAATAATTAAAAATTATCAGAACAGATATCAAATTGCCAAGTAACAATACTATATATGACATGTATATTGTAAAAGGGTCAACCATTTTAATGTTCTTGAAGAAAATAAAATGCACTTTTAGTTGTTATAAATAAAATACAATGTTTAGGATATTGGTCTAAAGTTTGAATACTGCATATATTGGTTGTTAATACAAGTCACAGTCTTGGGAAATGTTATTTTATTGAAGTTTTATATGCAGATAGTGAGATACTCTGTTTAATAAGACAATCTGTGTTTATTAACTTTCGGTTGCTATAGACAGGTTAAACTGTATTATTTTTATGCCACCGCAGCATCTGTGATGCGGTGGCATATAGCGATTCACCTGTGTGTGTGTTTGTTTGTGTGTGTGTGTGTGTGTGTTATATAGATTATATAGTGAACTTAAAAAATCTTCTTGTGAAAAACCACTAGTCCAATTTCAACCAAACTTGGCAGGATTGATCCTTGGGTGAAGGCCTTCCAAAGTTGTTCAAAGAATTTCATTCCATGCAGAATTCTGGTTGTCATGGCAACCAAAAGGAATTATAGGAATAAATTTAAAAAATCTTCTTGTAAAGACCCAAAAGGCCTAGAGCTTAGATATTTTGCATAAGGCATTGTCTGGTAGACCTCTACCAAGATTGTTCAAATTATAGCCCTGGGGTCCAAATTGGCCCCGCCAATATGTACATATAGTAAAAACTTAAAATACCTTCTTGTCTGAAGGTACCAGGCTTAGAGGTTTGATATTTGGTATGTGTTATTATCTATAGGTACTCTACCAAAGTTGTTCAAATTTTGCCTCTCTAGTGTCAAAATTAGCCCTGCCCCGGGGGTCATAGGTTTTCCTCATATGTATATAGTAAAAACTTAAAAAATCATCTTCTCTAAATTGACAAAGGCTAGAGGTTAGATATTTTGCATGAAACATTGTGTAGTGAACCTCTAGCAAGATTGAACAAATTATAGCCCTGGGGTCAAAATTGGCCCCACCCCCGGGGGTCATTGATTTTCACTATGTACATATCGTAAAAAATTAAAAAATCTTATTGTCTGAAGGTACAAGGCTTAGAGCTTTGATATTTGGTATATCAATATGATATCATCTATAGGTACTCTACCAAAGTTGTTCAAATTTTGCCTCTAGTGTCAAAACTAGCCCTGCCCCGGGGTCATAGGTTTTCCTCACATGTATATAGTAAAAACTTTAAAAAATCATCTTCTCGAATTGACAAAGGCTAGAGGTGAGACATTTTGCAGTAAACATTGTGTAGTGAACCTTTAGCAAGATTATTCAAATTAAAGCCCTGGGGTCAAAAAGAAAAATGTGTTCCTACATTACTATTTTAGTATTGTATTTATGTGGTGGCATAGCATTTTTTACAAATGCAATCTTGTTTATATTTTTGTTCATTTGATAGTTATTTATTATTCAAATGGCTATTAACATTGGAAAGCAAGCCTTGAATATTATGATAAGATATTCAGGTCTACATGCTTACTGTTTTGATTAATGTACCTCATGCATATTGAAATCATTGTGATTCTTTATATATACCAGATGAATCAAACTTTTGTATTTTTCTTATTTCATTAAAATTTTATCTAGTTTTAATTACATTTGTATGTAATTATTCTTATAAATCAATTTTCAGAATGCTTGATCACAATTCAATGTTTATAATTGATGATATAAATCATAATAATAAATATATATTATAAATATGAATGTGTTTTATGTTCCTTTAACATCTAGAAGAGATCAACATTTTATCTTCAGCTTCAGTCATGATTGTAAACTAAGACTAGTAACTTTCAGATCCAGCATGTTACAGTTAATTTATTTAGAAATAGATATCAATTTTCAGTGCATAATGTTGTAGAATAATGCATGGTTCGAGTTCAAATGTGCAGTCATCGAATTTAGCACTGGCCCAGTGGCCAATGAAAATTAGTTTGGTCAGTGAAAATTTAGTTAAATATATAGTAGAATAAATTAAAAACTGGAATTCGGGCCTCTTAAATTTAATGACTGAATGTTGCATAGTCCCTATAATTAACGGACAACATTTAATCTAGTAACGCAATGTGGCCCACATTTCAAAATCATTACTTTACGTGCTATTATATAATAATAATTTACTTGATATTATGTTGCTGTTTCTTTCTTCCAAAGTACATCCATGTGATCAGTATTTATCAATCACACAGAGAATTAGAGTCAACTTTCCCTTTTGCAAGACAGATTCCAATTAAAATTTATAGGCTCCCAAGAAAGGTACAGTGATTGGATGATTGGAAGTAGCAGGTGCTTGTAATAGCATCCAATTAGCACACAATGAATTGTATAGGCTTGCAAAGACATGGTACAGTGATCAAGCCAACAGTGCAACATTCTTCAATTTTGCCATTTTAACATTTTTTGAAAGATTCATTTAAGAAAATAAAGGTTTATGGGTAGCAAAACAAAATAAATCCCATAGAATAATCAACTAGTTTTATTCTCCTCTTTACTTCAACTATATACATGTAAACATTACTCTCAACATTCTAGACATAACACATTAAAATACATGTATAACATATTGCATTGTTTTACAGTTTAATTTAAACAGTTACTAATATTACAGTCTCTCAAAGCAGTCATATTTTCAATGTAAAATATGCAAGTACAACAATTGTCCATGCAAAAAGTAAGGTAGTAATTGCTGGTAATACAAGTAAGTCTTTTGTATAATAGTTAATACATTGCATCATTCTATATACGCTAAATTAATATTACATACACATTGCAAAGAAGAAAAAAGAGACTTTGATAAAGTGATAAAAAATGCTTTGAAATAAGCACCTTTAAGCTAAAGTCAAATTCAATAAAGGCAACTTTGGAAAAAATATCTCATTTCTATTTTATATTTATTATATCTATTATATTTCAACAAAATTGTATGTAAACAAAAATAAAAACTGACATTAAACACTGACTAAAAACAATTTCAAAAACAATTAAGTGAAAAGCTGAATATATAAAAAAATTCATCACAGTTTAATCAAGTATATTAATCATGCAAAGCAAATAAATAGTTAGAAATATGTAAACAACCAACGACATATTGCAGTATGAAATAAAATACCACAAACTCTGTTATAACTATATATCAGGAGAGACAACTCTTGATGTGAAAATTCTCTTCCATATTATGATTGTCTACCTTTCTATACATCTTCAGTGTAACAAGTTACAACATAAAAAAATAACAACATTTTCATTTTTTGCATATAAATAATTTTTTGGCCAAAAAATTTTAACAGTCAATAGGTTGGTAAACAAAATCATTAAATAGCTATATCGGATCTATATCTCAGGAAAGATAACTCTAAAAGTCAGATTTATTCTCCCAGATCTATCATGGTATTCTCTTGGAATTCGATGCTGAAAAAAAATGTTTTATCATTATTAACATTTCACATAGAAATCATATATGTATTATCAATTAACTATAAAATTCTTACATACATTCATCTCTTTATATGCTCATATAAACATTTCTCAGAAAAAGAATACCCAATTTTAAGCTGCATGCCTCCAGATGAGCCAAAATATTTCAAAAAAATTTAACTTGAGAAAAATATACTTAGATTTTAAGAAAACTAAAAAGATTTAAGCTTCAGGTAATAATTTACAAGTGAAGCGATTAAGGACTGATTTTGCAGTATTCTACTGCAATACTAATGCAGTAACTAAGGGCCATTTTGCTTATTTTGACTGTCTTTTTGGTAATTTTTGTGGATTGCAAGTGCTGTTTGCAATGAGTAAATTATTTTCTTTGTTCACTTCACAATATTTTAATTTTAAATACATTTTCAAAATTTTCATGAAATAAGCATGAAACTAGAGGCATGCTCATTTTAATGAAGTAAAGATAATTATACATTACATGTACTTGATAAGCTAATAAGCAAAGAAGTGTAAAAGAAAAATGATTATTTACATGTAAATATCTTGTTTAAAATTAAACTATTTAAAATTGAATAGAAATATTTTTAACCTCACCTGCCAGTCATCTTGTGTAGACCCTTCCATAATTAACAATGATCCATGTGTGAGTGGTACATCTATATGTTGCATGTAGGTATAATCTCCCTTTTCAATCTAAAAATACAAAAAATCATATGTTATATAAATTCCATAATAATACACTGTATCTAGACAAATTTCTTATATGAATACAAGACTTGTGGAATGCATTCAGAAAACATGTAGAACACATACAAAACACCTGTGGTACACATACAGTACACCTAAGGTACATATACAGTACACCTGTGGTACATAAAAAGAACATCTATGGTACATATACAGTACACCTGTGGTACATGAAAAAAACATCTATGGTACACATACAGAACATCTTTGGTACACATACAGAACACCTGTGGTACACATACAGTACACCTGTGGTACATAAAAAGAACATCTATGGTACACATATAGTACACCTGCAATACACATACAGTACATCTGTTTTACACATGCAGAAAATTATATGCATGCATAGTACATAATGTATAACACTCCTTATTTTCTTTTAAAAATTTTAACAATATAATTCTTGATACAGCATTGTTAACCTTGTAAATGACACTAGTTGGTATCAAAATCCATTCTGATTTTTAGCTCGACTATTCGAAGAATATGAGAGCTATTGTAGTCGCCCCGGCGTCGGCGTCTGCGTTGGTTAAAGTTTTTTGTAATGTCAAATATCTCAATTATTACTTGAGATATTCAATTGAAACTTACAATACTTATTTATAGTAACAAGGTACATCAGATTGACAAGTTTGATAACTCTGCCTACAATATTGACAGAATTATGCCCCTTTTTAACTTAGAAATTTTGGTTAAAGTTTTTTGTAAAGTCAAATATCTCAATTATTGCTTGAGATATTCAATTTAAACTTACAATACTTATTTATAGTAACAAGGTACATCAGATTGACAAGTTGGATAACTCTGCCTACAATATTGACAGAATTATGCCCCTTTGGAACTTAGAAATTTTGGTTAAAGTTTTTTTGTAAAGTCAAATATCTCAATTATTGCTTGAGATATTCAATTGAAATTTAAAATACTTTTTTGTAGTAACAATGTACATCGGTTTGCAAAATTGCATAACTCTGCCTGCAATATTTGCAGAATTATTTGCCCCTTTGAAACTTAGTAAATTTGGTTAAAGGTTAAAGGTCTTCAAAGGTATTTACTTGAAACTTTACACATGCACTTAGGGTCATAATTTGAGGGTCATAATTGTATGTCACTGACCAAGTTCCATAACTCTATCTTGCATTAAGGCTGATTCATATCCCCTTTTCTACTTAGTCTCTTGGTTAATGTTTACATGCAAGTTTTACATATCCCAATAACTATTAAAGATATTTATTTAAAACTTCACATATGCATTTAGGGTCATAATTGTAGGTCACTGACAAAGATCCATAATTCTATCTTGCATTTAGGCTGATTTTTCTCCCCTTTTTCAACTTAGAAATTCATGGTAAAGTTTTGTTTGTAAGCTGTTATCTCAATAACTACTGAAGGGTTTGTGCCTTTTTTGGGACAATTTTATGCATTCATAATAATAAAGCAGTGATTTACTTGATAAAATATCTTTATAACAAGCCTTTGTACCTTGTCTGTCAAATTTATGTGTTCATAGGTAATTAGTATTATTATACTCAATAAAACACCCTTGTGACATTACCTTCCGAATAGTCAAGCCAATACTGTATAATTAGACTCTCTCTAAGGCCTATAACATGAATTTATAAAAAAAAATTAGCCCTTTTGTGAACTTAAAAAATTTAACATTATCAAGGCTCTTTTACTATTAAGCACTTAGAATAGTCGAGCATGCTGTCCTACCCGACAGCTCTTGTTACAAGCACTAATTGAGACACATGGTGTTATGGTCTTACTGTAAAATGATGCCATAAAACAATTTTAATTTATAAACTTTTCATTTGAATTAGATTTAGTAACTTTAATATTATATATTACAGGTATTGGTCATGAGGTATATGTTAAAATTGAGCAAATTCCTGATGCAATTCCTCGTGGTTATTTCAAACCTGTTACATTTCATGGACAACTGACTATTGTATCTTTGATTTGGAAAGGACTGGG